CACTTTTGGAGTGACGAAGAAACTAAAGCGCAAACAAACGCGGTCGCTATCTCTTCCGAACTGGGAAACATGTTGTTGTTTTCAGGGATACTGGAACAAGAAGAACCAGAAGTTACGCATATTGCATCTGGACGTAGTCCATACATCCTGACGCTACCCCAACGTCCGCATTTAAATCGGGTTATGCAAGTTAGGGATAACTCTTTCTATTTATGCTTGTAAACGGGTTATTCTGATCAACTCAGAAACCCGAATACCGACCTTAACCCGATCATAACCCGGATATTGGCTGCATGTAAACGTACTCAATGTTGGAGCAAAGGTGGCTCAGAGGTTAAGAATTTGCTCTTTAATTGGTGGGTTGCAGGTTTGAACCCAGGCTCCTACAGTCATGTCAGTCGTTGTGTCTTTGGGCAAGAAACTTCACTTTCCTTACCTACTGGTGGTGGTCGGAGGGGCCGGTGGTGCCTGTGTTTTGCATCCTCGCCTCTGTCAGCGCCTTGGGCTTCCCGGCAGGGTCACGGAAGGCGCTTTATAAATAAAGCTTTGATTGATTGATTGATTGATCTGTCAGCATGCCCAAGGGCAGTTTCACCACCAGTGTAACCCCAACCCTGTATCAAAGTTATTAAACTCATCTGTAAGTTTGGCTTTCCTAATCTCCAGATGTCTCCTCCACAATTAGATATCTTCACTATGAAGGTCCCCACTTATTTACTCCACCATAATAGGTGGGATATTTTATCACAGCACATTCAGTTGGAGGTATGCATGCCAAGCTTGTTCAGCTTTGAAGACATGAAGATGTTTTGGTGAAGAAACAAAACGTGACATTGAGGCTCATAAGCCACTGCTCTGTCTTCATTCAGATCATTAAAGAGCAAAAGAGGCTGAACTGATCTTCCCTCAGTCTTACAAAATGAGCAGTTCTGGAGGTTTTGGGAGTAAAGCCGCTGTTCCTTTTCCTCGAAGGGAGCCCACTGAGATGTTTGAGGCTGACAAAGATGTGTCTCGGTCAACTCCCACTGGAGGTTATCCAGGTCCATCCTACTAGAAAGAGACCACAGGAGGGATTTTAAGTCCTTGGGATCCCTCCAGAAAGAGATCAAATGTGTTTCTGGGGGGAGTGATGCCTGGGTTCCCATGATAATGGCTTTAAATCATGACCCAATCTTGAATAAGTGATTTAGTAAAATAAACAAAATACCTAATTGGTAGCCTAGTGAACTAGACCAAAGTATTGCTTTGCAAAGTATATATTCACATACGGTTTGTCAGGCTACCCAATTAGAGGAGTAAAATGTGTTTTACTCTCACCAATAGAGAACTAACTTCAGGCAATCCTAGACAGCAGTGTGACGTAGCAGCTTCTGATGAGACCACACCTAAAGGTACAGCGCTCAGCATAAATGAGTACACCCCCTTTAAAAAGTGCAAATTTAATCAGTAGTTCAACGAACAAAAGAACAATTTCCAGAATGAAATTAAGGTTAATAATATAAATTACATCACTAAATCTTCAGTTTTACTAAAATTGGTTGAAGCAAAAATGATGAATACACCCCACAACATAAACTACTACATCTAGTACAGGTGCTGGCCAGTAAATTAGAATATCATCAAAAGGTTGAAAATATTTCAGTAATTCCATTCAAAACGTGAAACTTGTACATTATATTCATGCAATGCACACAGACCAATGTATTTCCAATGTTCATTACATTTAAATTTGATATTCATAAGTGACAACTAATGAAAACTCCAAATTTGGTATCTCAAAAAATTAGAATATTCTGAAAAGGCTGAATATAGAAGACACCTGCTGCCACTCTAATCAGCTGATTTACTCAAAACACCTGCAAAGGCCTTTAAAAGGTCCCTCAGTCTTGTTTTGAAGGCACCACAATCATGGGGAAGACTTCTGACTTAACAGCTGTCCAAAAGACAATCATTGACACCTTGCACAAGGAGGGCAAGACACAAAAGGTGATTGCTAAAGAAGCTGGCTGTTCGCAGAGCTCTGTGTCCAAGCACATTAACAGACAGGCGAAGGGACGGAAAAAATGTGGTAGAAAAAAGTGTACAAGCTCTAGGGATAACCGCACCCTGCAGAGAATTGTGACGACAAACCCATTCAAAAATGTGGGGGAGATCCACAAAGAGTGGACTGCAGCTGGAGTCAGCGCTTCAAGAACCACCACGAGGAGACTCATGAAAGACATGGGATTCAGGTGTCGCATTCCGTGTGTCAAGCCACTCTTGAACAAGAAACAGCGCAAGAAGCGTCTCGCCTGGGCCAAGGACAAAAAGGACTGGACTGATGCTGAGTGGTCCAAAGTTATGTTTTCTGATGAAAGCAAGTTCTGCATTTCCTTTGGAAATCAAGGACCCAGAGTCTGGAGGAAGAGCGGAGAAGCACAGAATCCACGTTGCATGAGGTCCAGTGTAAAGTTTCCACCGTCAGTGATGGTGTGGGGTGCCATGTCATCTGCCGGTGTTGGCCCACTCTGTTTCCTGAGGTCCAGGGTCAATGCAGCCGTCTACCAGGAAGTTTTAGAGCACTTCATGCTTCCTGCTGCTGACCAACTTTATGGGGATGCAGACTTCACCTTTCAACAGGACTTGGCACCTGCACACAGTGCCAAAACCACCAGCACCTGGTTCAAGGACCATGGTATCCCTGTCCTTGATTGGCCAGCAAACTCGCCTGACCTTAACCCCATAGAAAATCTATGGGGTATTGTGAAGCGGAGGATGCAATACGCTAGACCCAACAATGCAGAGGAGCTGAAGACGACTATCAGAGCAACCTGGGCTCTCATAACACCTGAGCAGTGCCACAGACTGATCGAGTCCATGCCACGCCGCATTACTGCAGTTATTGAGGCAAAAGGAGCCCCGACTAAGTATTGAGTGCTATACATGCACATTCTTTTCATGTTCATTCTTTTCAGTTGGCCAACATTAGAGAAACAAACATTTTTTCATTGGCCTTTAGAATATTCTAATTTTCTGAGATACCAGATTTGATGTTTTCATTAGTTGTCACCTATAAATATCAAATTTAAATGTAATGAACATTGGAAATACATTGGTCTGTGTGCATTGCATGAATATAATGTACAAGTTTCACGTTTTGAATGGAATTACTGAAATATTTTCAACCTTTTGATGATATTCTAATTTACTGGCCAGCACCTGTAGTTTGTATGACCGCTGTGATTTTCAAGGACAGCACCAAGTCTTCTAGGCGTGGAATGAAGAAGGTGGCAACATATTGCAACATTTTTCTTTTTCCATTCTTCAAGAATAACGTCTTTCAGATGCTGGATGGAGAGTGATGCTCAACTTGCTGCTTCAGAATTCCCCACAGGTGTTGGATTGGGTTCAGATCAGGGGACATACTTGGTCATTCAACAAACGACCAAGTGCATGCAGCATCTTCTCCTTCAGTATAGAGCAGTACATTGTTGAGTTCATGATACCATCGATGAAACGCAGCTCCCCAATACCAGCAGCACTCATGCAGCCCAACATAAGGACACCGCCACTATGCTACTAAAACTGAGCACGATTTTTACTCGTGAATTAAATTTGCATGAAGTGATCACTAAACAGTGTAAGGTAACCCGTATGCTTCACAGAAACACGACTCAGCACAAAAATGGTGGTGTTGCTTAACATTTTGCTCGTTTTTATGGCCTTTGTCACACACTGAACCAGGAAATGGCTGCAGGCAGTGAAACAAAGGCGAAAAACTCCGGAGCAATCAGTGACTCAGTGCCCCCCTAGCCAATCAGCGGCCAGCCCAACTCAGTCTTGCCAGGTACCTGAACGGAGCAGCGATTGAAAATGGGAGAGAAGAGGGAAAAAACAAACCATACCCATAGAAACTGTGGTCAAGCTGAGCTGCACCAGTCTGAGTTACTGAGTTGTGTTCCTGGAAAACTACCTTATACTTGGGGTGTACTCATTTTTGCGACACAGGCTTGAATTAATTTGTTAGGAAAATAATTTTTTTTATGTGTGAAAATTAAATTGTATTTGCAATCAATGGCCCACATTTGTGGGAGTATTTTGTAGTATGGTGTCTTATAGAAACGGTTGATTCTGAAAGGAAACTAAAGATTTTCTGACAAACGTAGTGGGGTGTACTCATTTTATAAGCACTATACATGGCACATAAAACTGCTTTTTGCAGATGATCCTGGTGACTTCATCAGAATATGATCTCCAGCTTTCACTGGAGCAGTTTGCAGCCTAGTGTGAAGCAGCTGGGACGAGAGTCAGCTCCTCTAAATCAGAGTCGAAAAAGGGTAGAATGCCTTCTCAAGGTAAGTGGAGGAGTTCAAGTATCTCGGGGTCTTGTTCACGAGTGAGGGAAAGCTGGATTGGGACATCAAATGTCAGATCAGTGCGGTGTCTGTAGTGATGTGGGCGTAGTACCAATTTGTCGTGGTGAAGAGAGGGTTGAGAAGTAACTAGCCAGAAGGCGAAGCTCTCGATTTACTGGTCAATCAAGCTCGATCGTCTGGAAGGGACTTGGAGTAGATCCGCTGCTCCTCCACATGGAGAAAAGCCAGTTGAGGTGGCTTGGGCATCTAGTTAGGATGCCTCCTAGAAGCCTTCCTGGTGAAGTTTTCCAGGCACGTCCAACCGGGAGGAGACCTAAAGGAAGACCCAGGACACGCTGCAAGGACTATGTTCCACGGAATGCCTTGGGATTCCTCGGGAGAGCTGGCCCAAGTGGCCGGGGAGAGGGAAGTCTGGGCCTCTCTGCTTAGGCTGCTGCCCCCGCAACCCGACTCCTGATAAGGATGGATGGATGGAAAACAAAGAACCATCAAGTTATAGCTTATGTCAAGTAGCATTCCCTTTGTAGGTCTATAAAACTGTCGGTGAGTTGTAAACAATACAGAAAAAAAATATTCCAAATTAAGTTCTTTTTCCAGAGACGATGGGAAATTTCAGAATCCCTGGAAAACAAAGCCACAAAACCGTTTATGGTTCTTAAAATTACCGATTTATTTTTTACTGATTGAATTTGAGTTAAATGACAATTCAATGAAAAAAAAATAAACTTGTAATTTTATATTTTTTCATACAGCAGTTAGCAATAGTTTTCAACTTCAGCAAAGCAAAAATAAATACAAATTTTAAATTATTTCAACATGGTTTCAATCAATAGAGCGACAGTAGCATTTCACGTTAATAGAGCACAAAATCCAATCCAAGGTTATGGCTTCCTGTCTGAATGTTTATGCAAAGGATTAAACCCATTACTTCTTTACTGGTTTCAGTGTCAAATTATATAATCCATAAATGTCCAACTTTAGCAATTAAAATCTGCTAAAATGCAGAAAGGAAGCCACTGTAGTGTCATTGGACTTATCCCAGCGGAAGCAGTTAGGAGACAGTGTTTAACATGCAATGAAAACATAAAAACAGGAAAATAATACAAGCAAAAAAAAAAAAAAGAAATAATCAAAATCAGTAACAGAAACGAAAGAATTTCCCAAAATATTCTACCATAAATGAGCTATTTAGAAAAATGTCACTTTTAAATCCTTCATGTACAAAGAAAGAATTAGTCATCTGAAAAAAGGTTACGTGACTATTCTGTCCTGTTCATTTTCCCTGATGGATGTGGGGCAGCATGCCCACTTTTCACCCACTCCAAAGGGGTGCGATCAGAATTCCTCTCCGGCCCGTCATGCCAACCACTCACCCAAACCAAAACCACTTGCTCCCTTTCAAAACCTTTCATCACTTCTTCTGATCTTTGCACAGGAAAGCTGTGTGGCCCATTGAAATGGAAGCAGATCCAAAAAACTTACAAGCACAACAAAACTCTCCTCAACATCCCCCGTTATTTCAGTGCATTCATTAGTCTTTGAGTTTCCTCCAAGTTTTCATTTCTCCTTGTGGCTGTGCTCCTCCCATGTGCCTTTGGCAGTTGTACGGAGGCCTGGCAGGGCCACATAGTCATTCTGAAAGCGTGAATTTGGAGTCCTCTGTCTTTTCCTCTCCCCCTGTGTGGTGAAGAAAGCATCCTGAAAACGCATACTTGATGCTGTTGACTAGAAAACAAAAACACAAGTAAACGCTGGTAAGTACAAAGAAAAAGTCCATCTTGTATCCAACTCTGGCTTCAAGTTGGCCCCCCAAGTCTAATACTTACAAGTCTACGCTTCACCTTTTTAGGGAGATCTTCATCTAAAGTGTAGACGTCTTCCCTTTTTGCCAGCACCTGAGAACCGTCTTCAAACTCCACCTGAGATCAAAGGAAAATATTTAAAATAATAAGTTTTCCCCTGCTTATTCACTGCATTCACCAGCTAAAAGTTGGACATGCACACAAACCCTTTTTTAAGTTGTGCTAGCCCCTTCACTCTAGGTTAGAAGATTGAAAAAATAAGTAAATCTAATCGGCTAGAACATGAATGTCACTGCAGGGCCTTTACTGCTGCAGTGGGCTCCATGTGTGTGTGATGGATCCATGGTGTGTCTGCAACCTCTAGCTCTGGAGCCACATGTAGCTCTTCAGACCACCTGAAGTGGCATCATGAAGTTTTGACCAATGATGCCTTCAGTTTAGTAACATTTATATTAAAGTTGGTAACAGAAAAGGGTTTCAACAGTTTTCCCCAAACGAGTTTAGAATTCATGCAGCAGTATGACCCTGCTGTCATGGCTTTTATCGACTCTTATGAAGAGTATATGCAGAGTCGGTCTTTGTTTTACTTTTTCAGGTCCTCCGTAATTCACTCACGTGCCATCGATCCGATTCTGCTCCAAATTCTGATATTCTATTCTTGCATAATCGATGACTGCAGTTAGTGAGAATTTGGGAGTTTCTTTTTATGCACCTGCCTCATGAAGATCAACCTCCAGTTTTAGTGGGACTATGGTCTGGGATATTCTTGAACATGAACCCAACCAACAAATTATTCTTGGATGTTTGAGAAGAATTCCTCTGGGAGGATCTTTAGTTACAATTGTTTCGTGATGTCTATGTTCTGAAGATAAACTGTGACTCCACCCCTGTGGCTAACCCCAAGATTCCACTACCTCCGCTCCGGTCTGCCCCCGCCTTCCTCAGCCGCTCGCTTCCGAACTCAATTTTTACTGGTACCCGCTCTACAACGGCTCCGCTCCGGTGCGGAGACCTGAGGTGCGCAAACAGGCATGCAGGCGGGATTTTCGAGATCTTGCAATACAGTCCGAGCAATAAACGTGGAAGTTAGATCCAAACACCCGTTGTGTGGGAGAAGCATCGAAATGAACTGTTCAATCTGCCCATCATTTGTGTGGAGAGATCAGCAGTGTTTGGATCAACAAAGGGTGACTACTTTGATAGTGGAAACTGTATTTATGGCTTACTTTTGTGCATTTAAACTTCAGCCGCCATTGATAGTTGTTAAAAGTTGTTAAACCTGTGCATATGAAACAAAAAACGCTTTTTGTTTATCGATTTATTGTGAAATAACGGAAGTTGTGCTTGCTCCCTTTCCTGTTGGGCGGTTGTGATTTCTGTCCATTTACTGCGGAGGTGCTCCGGCGTCCGGCGAAAATAGAATCGATCCTATTTTTGCCGAATGGTGGAACGGCGCACTGCGCCGCACGGCCGCAGTAGTGGAACAGCTCTGATTGACTACAACGGGACCGATTTTGCTGCGGAGTTCGTAGTGGAATTTTGGGGTAAGAAGCAACCCCACATGAATGGAATCAGGAAGTTTTACTGTTGGCGGGACACAGAACTGATGGTAGCGCTCATGGTGCCTTTTCTTCTTCAGAAAGTACACTGAAAAAACTGATTTGTTTGGAATGCTAAATATCACTCAATAAAATCTTCTAAAATGTGACTAAATATATTAGTTAAAGACCGAAATTTAAAAAAGGAGTTCATTCTACCTATTTTATTTAATTAACTAACAGAACCCAATTTCAATGAGTAGAATACCCAAAAAACTTAGTCCAGCACTGCTGGATTACCCTTTTTTTTAATTAACAAAAATAACAATTGTACATGTTGGCCAGATTATCGGTGTACAGTTCTGTGCTATATTAGCGTTCCAATTCAAGTATTCATGTAGTTACAGTTACAGGTGCACTTACATTTTAAGGGAAATATTTTAGCATGTCTAAAAAAAATTTTTGAGCAACAGTGAATTCAGTTGAGCTTTTGTAAAACAGAAATATATTAATTTTGTATTGCTTTTGATGGAATAAATTCTTATTCATACCAGCATTACATTGGGCAGCAGTATAGCTGAGGAGGTAGAGCAGGTGGTCCAGAAAGCGGAGGATTGCAGGATCTATCCTAGCTTCAGCATGTGTCCAATTTATTTTATAATTTTCTAGCTTAGAAAATTGGGTAATATTTACTAATAAGCGTCAGTTAGATTTTACCCAATTCCTTTAAGTATTTCTTAACTTTGAATATAAGGTATTATTTACAAACGTATTTGGTGTTTAAATTAACTAAGCAAATTGTTACCTCAATTTTATTGGGTAGTTTCTATAGGTTGCTTTTTATAGTGTACTTTCTCCAGATGTCCTAAATTATCAGATAAGGGATTCATCTGACACGGTCCAACTGCCAGTACCTTTAGCAGCACACGTCTGACCCTGACGGGGACAGTCTGGGAGTAAAGACGCTTGTTTTATGCCTTCTTGAAGAAGACCCTCATAAACAAGATCAGATGTGACGAAGCCCTGATCCCAGGGTTGTATCGTTTCCAAAAGATGGTCCTTGAGCCCTTTTGGACTTTCTTGGGCACCATGAAGGCTACTTCTGAAGCTTTAAAAATGCAGTGGAAATCTGCCTTTTGGGATAAAGTTCATCTTCGTGGCAAAGCGAAACTTTTTTGATCGATTCGAATTCAACCCGTCATTCTTCATTACATTCTGGAGTTTATGCAAACTCCATCCTAAAAACTGGGGCAGCAAACAGACAATATTTGTCATTCTCAAAACTTTTTGCCACAGCTGCGTAAGAAAGTCGGGACTGAGTTTTTCCGATGGAAGTTAGAAACGTCAGTTATCATAAATGCACGGTGCAGACAGAATCCCATTAGCTCTGTACTAGAAATTGTTGCAAATAACTTTTCACCAAAATGTGTTTAAAATGCAACAATCAGTTTTACTATTAATAGTGATAGCTTGTTAGCTCGCCTCCTAATTTAGACTGCAATAGGTAACATTTTCTTTCCCACTGTCATTTATGCTTTTCATTTTACTAAAAATCACAAAAGTTATAATTAAATATGTGACAATGGAGGTTAAACTGAGAAAAAAAGTTTCAGATTGGGGTGGATTATTGTTATGGTAGCAGCAAATATTGGACCTGGGTGGAGGAAAGTAGAGCCAGCATATCTGTGTGGGTTGGTCTGAAGGCCACAAACCCATCACTCCATCAGGATCGTGTTAGCATGGTCTCAACGAGCATGTAGTCGCATCTCAGTGTCATCCTGTTTGAAAAGGGCCTTCCTTTTTGTTGTGCTGTTATTAAATAATAAATCATTTAAGGTTTGATAAGAGTCTTCCGTTTGTATAACGGTTTTAAATCCTTGATTGGGCTTATTTGAAACATTTTCTAATCAAGAATTCCAGCTTTCTAAAAAAAAAAAAGAAACAAGGCCACAATGGAAAACTCTTGTTCCACCTTAAAAAGAATCTGCCCCATGTTCAGCTGAGTGTGTGCGTCATGAAAGCATTTGTGCATAAGTAACACTTGACACCCAGTTAGACTAAAAAAAGCTTTAAGTGGAAGCCCTGAGACTCTCTGCTAAGTGAATAATTTAGTGAGTTTGAATAATGCAGATTGTCACCTCCTCCTTATCCTCCTCCTCCTCCTCCTCTCCATCTCTTTTCTCGACCTACTTTCCCTCTGCACACCTTTTGCTTCCAACATATTTTGTTTTGGGTTTTTTTCCCCTCCCACATCATCTTCAATCTTGTCTTCGGCCACCATAACATCTCCCTCCCAGGTGCTCTCACTCTGCTTCTTGTAGGCCGGGGGGACCCGACCAACGTCAGAGGAGTCACAGAAACTCTGAGTTCAACAAGTCTGAGCTACTTCGACCAACAGTTGCTCCTGCAAATGTGTTTATCGTTTATGAACCAAATGTTTCATTCAGATTATATAAATGTGTGTACCTGGTACATGTAAGACACGTTGAACCCCAGGTATTTAGCACCATAGAACAGCCCATCAGGCCATTTTACTTGAACAGCTTCCCCAACGTCTGGAGAACCCAGGTTCACACAATCTCTGCTCTGAAAAGACAAAAGTACAACATTTAATTTGTGTAACTGTCAAAACGTTCTCAGATTGTGCTGAGAAGAGTTTCTGTGTTATGCCTGTACACTGTTAGAACAACCAACCACAGGTTGCCACACTTTTTATTCACAAACGACAGTAAAAATATCCAGTATGAACTGGTCCTACTTCTGGTGCTAAAATGCTGCCAATCAATGAAAACCCACATCTTAAACAGCTGCTAGCAAAAATGATGGATGATGTTAATTGAGAAAAAAAAATCGGTGGATATTTTGGTGCGCGTGTCTTTTCGGTTTACTGGGTTGGTGTGAGATGCACTGCAGGTTGTTTCATGGGACCATAACACTTAATTCTTAGAGACAAAGACATATTTCTGTTGTTTTTCTTCCTCAGCTTCACTGCCTTCGGTAAATTTGTAAGCTGTTGACTATTTTCCCAGATGACCTATGCATTTGGACACTCTGGGGGAAAATGATGTGTCATCTCAGGTAAAAAGAACCAGAAATAAAGAACACATTCATCATGTCAAACACATGCACATGATGGTGGCCATTCCTAGAAGCACAACACAATGACTCTCTCTTTAGCCCTTTTCAGATAGATATTCTGGAACATTTGTGGACAACTCAGTCCGGTTTTTAACCGGAACTGTGTTTTCAGACACACCACTTTTGTACCGGAACTTGTCCTTTCGGCTGCGTTCACACAGCAGGGAAAAGTTCCAGATGTCTGACGGCGGCGTGGGGGTGGTGGGGGGGAATCGGACTTATGTTAAGAAGAAGAAAATATCATTTCTATAGGGCCTCTCAAGATAAAAATCACGAGGTGCTTAAGCATAATTCTGCACACACGAAGACGCATAAGAGACCTGGATGATGAAGCTCAATGGTTAAAGGAATCACTGAAGCGGTGTGAAGCGCTCCGTCGCGCGTCTAGGCGGTACCGTAGAAGGCGAGCTGCCGTGGTTCGCCGCATGCTACAGCAGCGGGCTATATAGGCGCGCACAGCGTCCCCCGGTCCCCTCCTCCTCCCCCTCCCCCTTGTCCGGAACTCGACCTCACCAGTCTGAAGCAGCCACCCTGTCCGTAACAAGTCCGGACCTGTTACTAGGGGCTTCGTCCGGTTTAATTCCGGAACACGTTATCCGGATGTTTGTATTCAGACACAAAGGTCTTACGGACAGAGTCCGGAACATTTCCGTTTTTCATGGCCTGTCTGAAGGGGGCTTTTGTGTGGACATGTTTTTGAAGTCGGCCTTGGGTGACACTTCACAATCTGAGTGTCGGTACCATTTCTTGTCCATTGGTTCCCACATTGGGCCACGATGACATTTGTACACCCTGTTTGCATGAATCACTACATGCTATGACCACCCGACCTCGTGCAAAACCTGAATGTGACCCTCTATCAACAATCATAAAGTCCTGGTAACACCGTCCTTTATCCTCATCCTGCTGCCTCTCATGCCTGCTGGTGCTGGCTCTAGACATGTAATCTAGTATTGCTTACATACCCAGCACTGGTCTGTATGAGGACCAAAATAAATCCAAATCTCAACGTTCCATCTGGGTGCTAGGATTGTTTTCCTGTGAACGTATATTTGCTAGACAGCAACCTTGAAAAGCAATGAATGTGTTTACAATTCTTAGAGATTGTCCTCTGTACCAAACTATTTTCAAGCCTGTGGTCTTCATGACGTGCTGTATAAAGGTATATACAGTGATCCCTCGCTACTTCGCGGTTCGTTTATCGCGGATTCACGACTTTGCAGATTTTTTCTTTGGAGCCTTATTCAAGGGAAATTCGCCGATTTGCGGTATATTTCACCGATTCGCGGTATTTTTCTATGCGAAATATCAAGAAATTCCTGTTTTTTTCATCAATTTCATCATAAAATGCACTTTTTGTAATAAAACTATAAAAAAACCAAGTAAAAAAATTTTTTTCTTGAGTTTTACCCACAAAAAGAGAATGTGATCATACGATAATTCAATATAGTACTGTACTGTAAATATGGTGTCCCTACTTGGCGGATTTTCACCTATCGTGGCCAGGTCTGGAACGCATCTACCGCGATAAACGAGGGATCACTGTAGTTAAAACAAAAACTATGCAAATTGTACTATGTGCTTTGGCAAATTTGCTTCACATACGGCAAAAGCAGGCGCTTTTATTTTCCCATGCTCTTTCATACCAGTTGAAATAATAGCAATAAGAGCACAGCTCTGATTATTCCCCCTTTAAAACTGAACAAATTTAGGAGTTTAAACATTCAAAGTGACCTAGCACAACTGTGAGCTAACCCTTCAAGTGTGTGTAATTAAACACATCCTCACCACGATATCCTCGGGGTAGGTATCATTAGAGAAAGAGCCGTCATCAAACATGACCTCGTAGAACGTCTGGGAGGTGATCTGGGTGACTTTGGAGCTGTAGTAGCGCAGGTTCTTGTGTTTGCAGATCACCGTCTGACCCAGGGAGATGGACGTTTGGCATGCTCTCTGACTCTAGCGCAGACACAACGCAGAGATAAAACTTATGTAGAAAAACAATCTGAATAAAAGTTTATTTGATTAAAAACAGATGAAAGTGGGACTTTTATAGGACAGCGAGTATGTCATCATTCAGAAATTATTTATCTGGTTGTTTTATTTTGTAAACACAACTGAGTGTTTTGATGCTAGACTACTTTCAGTCACATGCTGAAATTGTTGCCTCCGTATAAAAATAACATCAAAAAGATGTTCGCTTGTGACTGAATAACTTTATATTTTCTCCTTTTCTTTGAAGTATTATGTTGAGACCAAAGTGAAAATTTCAAGCCACGTATTAAATTAGTTTGACATTTTATGGATGCAAGTTTGGGGATTTGCCCCTAATATCTGAGCTGAGGAGAACTTGTTATTCACTCGGCACTAATGATGTTACAGCACATATATGTGTGTGTGATTAGGACAGAATATAGAAACCAATCCTTCAAAAAATAAACTGTGCACTTTTCACATAATTCCATCAAGTAGTTTTAATCACATCTCACACACCAGGATCTGGAAACCCAGCTTGAGTGTTTCCCACATAGTTACTTGTGTTTTCTTCATGAAGGAACTCTGTTGTGTTTCCAACTTTAGTCAATATAAAACTATTTGCAACAGATGGCCTGTATGCTTCTTTCCAAGTTAATACAGAAGTAGTGTAGGATTAATTATATTATTCGTTACATACATGATTTATTATAAATTTCTGCCTCTAAACCCTTTTTACTCTCTCCTTTAAACTCCATTATCAGGATGTTGTTTATTCAAAAGGCCTAAAAATGATAGAAATCCAATCCAAGATGAACAACAACACAAGCATCATTTTAAAATATTTACCCATTTCACAGGAACTAAGCCTAAAATAAAAGTGGGTAAAAAATGAATAAATAAAAAAATGTTCGCTCTCAAAGTTTTATTAAGGACCAAGACTAAATGTAGCAGCAGGTGCAGCTGGTGTAATGAATTTATCTGTGTGAGCTCCTGAATAAAGGCCCAGAATTGGGCAGCTTGCTCTTCTGGAGCATACAAGTGTGTGCTAAAGCTACAATGGCAAACTTGGAAAACAAATTAGCGTAAAACATTTCCTCATGCCCCTTAACTCATTCACTGCCATTGACGACTAAAGTCGTCATTTTAGATCCAACCGTTCACTGCCATTGACGACTAAAGTCGTCATTTGCATTTTTTTACTGTTTGAGCATCGGAACGAGTCCCCGCGCTGAGAGAACAAACATCTCAGCCCTGAAGCCGATCTTCATCCACATACGTCACGGATCACATAGTCAGGAGGCAACACATCCATGTGTTTGGAGATCGTTTTGGGCCGTTCCTGTAAAAAAAAGTGAGGCGCGAACCTGAAAAGCGTCTGCCGATCACAATTCGACAACGGATTATGAAAGAACGGATAACGCTCGAAACACGCGGCTTCTTCCTGATGTAAGAGGTGAGTCTCCTCTTTGTTTTGGTTGTTTTGGCGTCGACATCATCCTAGCGCGCAACGTTCTGTGACTCTTAAAAAACAGTAAAAACGGTGAGAAACGCTGGCAGCGAAGGCCGTTAGTGATCAGGAAACGGCTGGCAGTGAATGAGTTAACATTCTAACATAGTATAGCTATAAATATATTGTGGAGATTAAAAACCAAGGAAAAAAATGAATGAAGTGGTTCTCTCACGTGCGTCTAAAAACCTCTGCCAATTCGGAACGTAAGCCACTATTGGACAATGTGATTGTCTCTCACTGAACTGCCGCACTTTACTGGGTCCCCCACTCATTATGCACTCGCAAATTTGGAGATAGATCACCACTGGTGTGAGAGGTGCTCCACTCAGTAATACCAGAGAAAGAGAAACAGCCGGCTGCTACCATTTCTACTTTAAGACAAACGACCAGAGTCCCAAAAAAATACCACTTGAGGTCATGGGCATTTTGACCTAGAAAACAACGACTGGTGTTCAGCACCATCTTGTTTGCTCTGGTAATAAGGGTTTACCGTTCCAGCAGAAGTGTAGCTTGTTTGCAGGTTCGTTATAACAGCTTTAACAAAATGAAAAGCAGGAAAGACGTCAGCAATGGCCAGGCCTTTGCAGAAAGTTCGGGGTAAGGAAACGACTGTTGCTGCCCATAAATCTGTGAAGGGTTAAAGACCACGTTCACGCGTTTTTTTCAACACATTTGCAGTGGTCTCTAGTGTAAATGAATGCCTTGATCTCTGTGGGGGAAAAAAGCTCTGGTGCTCCTGTTTTAGAGAGTAGAAAAGTTGGAGGAGAGGGGAGCAGAAAACTGCAGGATTTAGAGTCTTAATCATTATTATTTTCAGATATTTGCACATCTCGCTTCTGATTGTCTAACAGCAACGCAACTTGTAACGTTGATGTTTTGTCTACACAACAAAAGCCTGAAGAAGTTCTGCCGTGTTGTGGAGTCGCTAATGCTAACGGTTAGCTTCTCCTAGCTGAGATGTGTGCTACACTACTGGATCCCAACATCAACACAACCTTCCCCGTCGTGAGCCAAGATAGGTGTGTCCAAAAATGCTAATTTGGCAGTGTGACCTAGATCTGTGTGGCTTTTTCTGACCTGAGTATTTTCCCATCTATTTTCTATCAGCAGCTAACACAGGAAATAGGGGCAGAAGGCTATTTTCATGCTCTGTTTGCATGTGAAACTCAAACTGATCCATCATATTTTAAAAAAGAAGTGAAAACGGTTTCTCAGGAAACTTTCTCTTTAAAACATTAAGGAATCATAGCTGAGGTAAAAGATTATTCATGAGTGAAATTTTGGAGTAGTTTTTCTACTTTTCCTAGAAGTGGACATCTAACTTAACCAGGAGGTTTGATATCACAGTGCTCTGAACACCAAAAAGACAAAATCTCCTGGCAACTTCGCAAAATTATTAGACAATGTGGGCACCTTATATTCACAGAGACAACCATGAACTCCTATGTTGATCCAAGTACGTTAGATCAGCTGAAGCTTGGATCAAACCGGGTCATAGCCTTGAGCCTGTGAGGCTGAAACAAATACCCCAATCAGAAGAAATGTGGAACGCTGCCGTCGCCATGGCAACTGTCTCCTATCCCAGCCTGGGCGGGACTGCGAGGCCGCTGAATCATTCCAGGAGTCACTGTGCCCTCTTAACCCAACGACCTCCCTCCCCTGTCTAGACTAAAGCCTGATTTATGCTTCTCCGTCTGCGTCAGTGCGGAGACACGCAACGCCATTATCCGTCCTTGCGTAGGGCACGCAAGTACGTATGGAGTCGAGCCCACTTTTTTAAACATACGTCGAATGAAACGGATTACGCAAGCTTGTGATTGGTCAGGATGCCGCTGTTGTTTACAGTGCCGCCATTGCAAAGAGAGCCGAGGGTAACTAGCGGCAGACACGGAGAAGCTTGAAGAATATCTCGCAAAAAATCTCTAAAAATATGAACGTTTAATCCTCCCGTGACTGGAGGAGTGAAAAGATGCGCAGCAAGCGTTTGATTTGTGGACGGAAATGACAGGAAACGTGGGTTTAGAGGTGGGGAGCGCATGAAGAGGTGGGAGAATGAGAGACAAATATGTCCGTGTTAAAAGTCTGTTACATACACAAAAAAACACAATATAAACACACTATCTTGGACCGGATACATGACAGGATACCACAGAACAGCGCTACGCCCTCTGTTGTCCTGCCGGGCAATTGCTTTGCAACACACTCCAGGAGACGGAGAGCAAAACGCTTCCGTCAATCCGTGCGTGTCTGTCCCTTGCAGAGCTGACGGAGAAGCATAAACCAGGCTTGAGGTGACGAGCGCTGCTTATCGCGGCTGCATGCACTGATGTGAGGAGAGTCCCAAACCCTACCACCCCAAATAGTGGACACTTGTGTAATGTCTGAAGTCTGTTGCATTTCTGTCTGAGGTGTTTTTTGCAGAGCAAAGCTGCCCTCCCTTTGGAGGGTAACTCTGAAGTGCCTTTTTTTCCTCCACCTGACCCAATCCTCATGTAAACCCCTCTGATCTCTATTAAGGTAGTGCGACTCAGGGTTGCGAATGCCCACAGTCACCAATTCTTGTCATGTGCCTATGTATGTATGTCTGATCTCAGAATTGTGTGTACTGAAACTCTAATTTCCCTCTGGGATTAATAAAGTATCTTTGAATTGAATTTGAATAAAACAAGGCAGTGATCTACAACAGAATGGCGCCAATGATTCAGTCAAAGTTCAAACCAAAGGGGTGGCGGTACATCCAGAGCCGGATGTAAACAAATACCCACAAATTTCAATAAATCGAAGCAACATTATATATATGTCTATATATATAAAAGAGCGGATAAAAATCCCTCCATCGTGCTAAAAGACGATGGAATCGTGCCAAATAACATTGCAGCTAAAAGCGGTTCCAAAAGACCAATAATGCTTTTCTAGTTTTAATTTAATTACAATATATTAATGATGTGTTGTTGTTCATCTGAGGTTGTAAATGTCAAAATTGAAAGAAAAGGACTGTGTGTTTAAAAGAAAGATGTTCAGTTTTGTCATCAAAATTAGAGTGAAATGATTTACTTGCTTGAGTGTTATCACCAGAGCAGGAGGACACTTTAGTACAAACTTAAGTCCAACCTACAACTTAAACATTGTTTTAGGAAGTGTTACACTTTCTCACAGACTATTTTAGCATGTGACTAACATTTACCTCCCTTCTTACTTCATTTACTACACTACCATCTGTCTCAGTCAGTAGTTGTTTATGACAGTTAACTAACTCATAGGACTCAAAGGTTCTTTTGTGACAAGTGGATCAGTCGGAACACAACCTGGGTCACGTCAGCTCAAGTTAGCCCGTCCTACAACTTACAGCTGACGAACTCCGTGATTGGTGTCTATGACAGGTGACTGACACAACATAGGGCCAATCGTCCGGCTCCATGACAACACCGGCGGCATGGGCACAGGTCACGTGAAAGGAGGTGGGACACCGGCCGCATGAGCACTGGATACAAGCACCTGCCTGCCGCTTCACAGAGCTGCGGTTACGACAATAGATGCACTTCTGTAAACACACACAAATGAGACCATGTGATCAGTACCAGAATCTGTCTGCTGCCGGACTGAACTCAACAAGATTACACACGGAGTTTGAGAAATGTTTCAGCTTGATGACTCTTTACAGACACGTGCAGTGAGGATGAATTTACCTTCTTACAGAGTTTTCAAGTTTTGCTTAAAACGCAAAGATCAGCAAAAACCTTTCAACATCAAAGATAATCCAAATAAATACAAAATGCAGGTTTTAAAGGATGATTTTATTTATTAAGGGGAAAAGATGATGTTTAAATCAACCTGGCCTTATTTAAAAAATATGGAGTAACTGGTTGCAACAACCTTGGCAGTAGCAACAAACAAGCGATTGACGATCAGCGCCACGTGTCCACAAACGTTAACAATAAAAAGTTTTACTCTAAGTACGCCATAACGTGCCGTGAGTTACATCGTTTTGGGGGGATTTCTGACACATTCTTCAACAATGGGAATTCAGAAACAGTGATTTTAAATAAGCATAAATGCTGCTTACTGTCTTTTCCTTCCATTCCTCTTCACTGGCAACTCTTCCATTTTTACAAATACGAGCTGTTTGGCAAAGTCTGCCGATATAATTTCCTACTAAGCTACAACCAATCAGCATGAGGTAACCACAAGTCCCGCCCAGCAACTCTACTGAGCCATTCCGAGTACATTCCCAAGTTCAAGTACTCGGTTGGTCCCTAAAATGGCCTGGAAAGTGGTTCTGTTGGTCTGGTGAAACGTAGGTGTGCATGCCGGAAGCTCCGATCGTGGAAACGGGCCCACTGTGTATCTTAATTAAGCTAGAGGGTCTTCCAGCATGAATGGTCTGTTTAAGGTCAAAGGTGAGATTTCCTCTCAGGATTTTATGCTACGACAGCAGAAATCATGGTTCCGTCAATTACAGCAAGTGGTACGGGTCCTCAAGCTGCAAAGCAGCTCCAGACCATCACACTACCCCCACCATGCTTGACGGTTTGTTCTTTTTACTAAACGTAGTGTGTGTTAGATTTCCTCCATATGTCATAGGATACACTCCCTCTGGAAAGTTCTGTTTTTGTCACATCAGTTCACATAACATTTACCTAAACATCTTGGGATCATTGGGATGTTTTTATCAGCAGAGGTTTGAGCATTGGAACTCTCCCCATTTCTTTCTTTTGATGAAATCAAAAACTCTGACCTTAACCAACTAGGCCCTGCAGTCCTTAATGAGTGCGTTTACATGCAGCCAGTAACCCTTTTAAAACCCGAATATTCACAATAACCCGGTTCCACAGGTCCATAAATCCGGATATGTTCATAACCGGGTTTTTAAAAACCCGGTTACTACACCTGGGGTAACCCTTTTCTAACCCGAATGTTTGGTCGTGTAAACGCATATCGGGATATCCCCATCAAAGCGTGTGTTCTGCGCATGCTCTGTTCGTAAAGAATCTTGGTCTTTTGAGTAGCGAGACGTCTTGTATGCGCCAGAACTCCGGAAGTAAGCAACAAGTTGGGAGCAACATGGCGAGTCGCGGCACAGCACCACACTTTTGGAGTGACGAGGAAACTAAAGCACAAACAAACGCGGTCGCTATCTCTTCCGAACTGGGAAACATGTTGTTGTTTTCACGGATACCGGAACAAGAAGAACCAGAAATGACGCATTTTGCGTCTGGACGTAGTCCATGCGTCCTGACGCTACCCCAACGTCCGCATTTACATCGGGTTATGCAAGTTAGGGGTAACTCTTTCTGTTTATGCTTGTAAACGGGTTATTCTGATCAACTCAGAAACCCGAATACCGACCTTAACCCGATCATAACCTGGATATTGGCTGCATGTAAACGTAGTCTATGTTGTCCTGGGCTTTTCTGTTCTTAAATTCCTTTAGAACTGATCATTTAAATGACTGAGGCAGCATTTTGTATTTACTTAGGTTATGAAAATTGGTTGTCTGATATTTAAATGTATTTGCTGAACAGATATAGTTTAAGTAGTACCTGTTTACAGCACTATAAACGGAATGGGAGCCGGTCAAACATTTAGGTATTATAGTTTGTTGGCACTGTGGACACAGCGCTCCAATTTACTTCCCCTTTTAAATAAGCACAAGCAGATGTTAAGCTTAGTTTGACTAAAAGCCAAAAAAAAAACAAGGTCGAAACTTAGAAAGCAACCAAAAACCTGCAGTCACCGCATCAGTTTCTTTTCCAAGGCAAATCAAATGTTGTTGTATGCCACCGTTATAAAGCTGAAGAGTTGAGGAAAAACATGAAATTAAAATCCAAAAACCACAAACTGACTCACTGTTCAATCTAATAAGATTTAAAGCCGTTACGTGTAAATGGTACATCTTCTACATGTACTGTTAATGGAAACGGTAGTCTAAACAAAACACTCATTTGAGGGAAGAACATGAGTAAATGGAAATCCCATCTGGAAGAGTTAACAGATGTAAATGAAGGTACCTACAACAGGGTGAACCAGACGCAACGGTTTCCACAACAAACTGGTGCTGCCTGCTGTGGTGTTTTGTACTTGTGAGAATCGTGAACATTACACAACCATGCCACCTACAGCCCAACACACACGTATATAAACACTAAAACAAAAACACACTGCAACACTTTTAAGGCTGTCCTGCAGCTTTCTGTACCAAACAGCCCGTCAAGTCAATGTTCGACAGTAGCATGTCCCTCTCTCCCACCGATCCACTCCCGCCCTTCTTAACACAGAGAAAAAAAAAGGACGACATCATCTTGTTATAACTCGAAACGTCAGCTGGTCCTCTTTCACAAGTCTCCCATCTCATCCTCCCATCCATTTCCTTAAAACACCCCCCATGCTCTATTTTTCACTCCACTTACCTACCCTGTCCTCCCTTTCATGGTTGATGGTAATTTATTCATTAATATAATTCCCTGGAAAGGCACATTGAATAATCTACATGCACAATTTCCCCTCCTCTTTTTATTCTCAGAAGATGTTTCTCAGAAGCAACTCAAATGGGACTTTGTTGATATGTAAATAGAAATGCCTATATGGAAAGGAGAGGGGGGGGGATAAGTTTCAAACTGTCCACTACCTACATTAGCATGTGTATAGGGGTGTGTGATGTGGACGAAATATGAAATAATTCTCTGCGATGCTACAAGAAGTGCTGATCGTCCCGGAGGAAAGCGATAAAACAACTTTTTCTCAGCTCCCGGTTATCAGCTACGCCTCTGAAATTAACGCCCTCTGTTCACTTCTGACAAATCAGCAACTGATCTAATTAGTTAATTGAGACAGGATTTATTAAATGTAACCTCCTCAGCTAAACCAACTTCATTCAGACGTCGATGCTCTATCAGGTGGTGACGGTTTCTGAAGAGCCTTTCTTCTTTCCCTCTCAGAAAATGAACCAAAAGATAATAGAAACGCTTATTACACACCGGGTGATGAAAATCTCAACTTTTTCCCCGAGTAATGAATTCTCCGTTTGTCCAGAGTTGTTCCATTTCTCAGCTGAGGGATTTTAGTCGGAGCTATTCTAGATGACTCACCTGGCCTGCATCTCATGACGCTTGTTCCCGTACCTCCTCAATTATGGACACCAGTGTGGTGATGACGTGACCCTGCTGTCACATCCGTCTGCTGAAGCCAGCCTGACTGGCAGGAAACAATCCCACCCCCGTGTGGGAGACAAATCCATGGTTAACTAACTATAAACTGGTTGGTGGTAAACCCATCCACACGGGAACTTAAGTTTGATGTTTGAAGAAGTATTTAAGCCAAAAATACCCCCCCCCCCCCACCCCGGTTCTTTCTGTTGAGTGTATCTGGGTAGCTGTGTTGAGCCATGCGTTAAGAACATTCCCACAGTAAATTATGGATGTGTACGTGCGCGCGGGTTGTGTGCTGGTGAATTATGAATGCACCGAGCTGTTGGAGAGGCAGCGAGTCCAGTGTGAACTTGAAAACCTGATGCTCATGAAAGAAACACACAAATAAACAAATGAGGTGATAACGTCCTCCAGAGCTATTCACTCCTGGTCCTGGAGGAGCCACACCTGATTCGATAATGAAATCACCCAGTCATCAGGTTCTTCAGAAGCCTGTCAATCACCCTTTGATTGAAACCAGGTGTGTTAGTAGTGAGAAACAGAAAACACACAGGAAGTGGGGCTCCAGGACAAGGATCCAACAGCCCTGGTTTGTTGTTCTAAAGCAACTGAAGACACGCATGGACAAGAATATGGTTCTGAATCAGAAACCCAACAGTGAAAGAGGCCAATCAAACCAGGACGGTCCCTTGGGCCCTAGTCCACACGTAGCCGGGTTTTTAAAAGAACGAATATCCGCCCCTCCAAAAACTTGCATCTACACCACCTCATTTAAAAAAAAACTCTGTCCACACTTAGCCAGATAAATACGTTGTTAAGGACATGCCAGACCTGTAGGCGGCAGTACTTCCCCCGTTCTTAACCTCGTCCTTCGTCTGTGGTCTTCCGCAAGGAGCAGTAATTCCGCTTGCAAAAACAAACAAGCAAAAAGCGCTTGGACAATTGATAAAGCGAGCGCAGCTCTGAAGGCTTCCATGCTGCCGGCTAGTGTAAACACAGGTCGCACACGTGATGTCAGCATTTTTTTGTCGCGGAAAGTGACGTTGCGGACCTTAAAACTCCGGTTTTGTCTCTCCACACGCAGACACCCAAAACGGAGAAAACGCAGATCTTCACTTTGGCCGGAGTTTTTAAAAAGATCCGTTTTTGTGTGAAAAAACTCCGTTTTCGTGTGGATGACAGGCCAAAACGTAGAAAATTATCTACGTTTTGGCAGATCCCCGGCTACGTGTGGACAGGGCCTTGGTTTGGTCACTACACTTGTCATGCTGGAGACTTTTCTTTACATCCCACCCTTTTCCAGTCTGGACAATGTTTTTTCAGTTTCCATTTGGTCCACTGAGGTGAAAAAATATTTCTGAGGTTTGTGTTTTTGACCCAAAATGGGGCTAATTTTAATGTGGTGTAGGACGTTACAAATCCTTCCACAGCTAATATCCTGTGGGTAAAGTCGCTGTGTTCACACACTCAGTGTCACGGTCTGTGTCAGCGCTGTAATGAAGCTCACACCATTTTTATTGCTGTGTGTGTGTGTGTGTGTGTGTGTGTGTGTGTGTGTGTGTGTGTGTGTGTGTGTGTGTGTGTGTGTGTGTGTGTGTGTGTGTGTGTGTGTGTGTGTGTGTGTGTGTGTGTGTGTGTTCATTAGCAAACTGTCTCATGAACTGCAGGATGGATTTGAATGATCTTGTAGATCGTGGTCATCCACATCCTTTTCTGGAACTGACATTTTTAAACATACTTCATAGTTAAATAATGATCACAATCTGAATTTGTGTTCCAGCAGCCTCTCAAAATATTTCCCCAACAAAATGCAAAACTGAATAAACTGTTCCTCCAGATTGACGAGCAGCATCTCATTTCTGTTCCCATCTTGCGTAGGAAAGTGTTTCTCGATCACTTAGCTTTCTGCAGAGCTATCACGCTGCCTGCAGCACAGAGCTAACTTTAGCAGGCTACGCGTCAGGTCTGCAGAGAAACACTCCAGCCTCTGTCATTAAGGATACACACACTAAACGCATGCACATACACACAGGTGGGGGCAGATGTACACCTACACATGTACAGAAAAACAAAACCAGCACGCAAAAAGCCCTACACACACACACACACACACACGCACGCACACACACCAAACCCCAGTCCCAGTAGTTAATTATCCATCTTTGATTGCGGGCATGTTCGTCTCATATTGTTAATTAGGATTGTGAACACTTCATTAATTAGACCAGGCCAGTCCTCAAGGACTGTGTGTGTGTGTGTGTGTGTGTGTGTGTGTGTGTGTGTGTGTGTGTTTCCCTCACCAGTTTGTATCTCTGCATGGGGATCCTGCTGGTGTCAATGGGAGTCCTCTTGGCTTCGTCGCTAAACCTGGCCTCTGGCAGTGCTACTGCACACATCACGTGGGCCCATCTGAACACACACACACACACACACACACACACACAAACACACACACAGAGACAAATTAATACATCATGATGATTAAGACACACAAACTGTTTATTTGGCAGTACACTGGAGATTTACGATAAATATGCGGAGGAAAAATGCTGAATAAACGATCATCTCACTTGTTGTTTTGGGTTTTCTTCAAAGCTCCACCTCTGAGGTTACAGAGACAGCATTCCTTAGAAAACAAGAGATCAGCAGGTTAGGAGTCACCGATGCTGCAGCAGATACATGGAAGATTTGTTTCCCAGTTTCAAGATTAAAATTAAAATGTTGAGAATAAAATTGAAATTGTATTAAATGTGAAAGTCAGAATGACAAGAGTAGAAGTTAGAGATGAAACAAGCACTGGAGATATGGTAGCCACGTCCAAAATGCCTTAAACTTCACTAAATTACTTTAGATATCAGGTAGGTCTCAGCTTTCAGCGTTTTAGAGTAAGCGGTCATATGTTTCAACACTAAAGCTACCGAAGGACTTTTTAGTGATGGAGGCAAACCTGTTCAGGCCTTTTGAGGTCAACAGACAGTACACATTTGAGGCTCTAGTTGTGAAGGTTCTCCACAACTTATTTTAGTTTTATGAACACATCCATAACAAATAAGCACTAATATTTTATAAAATGCTTGGTTTTCTGCTCCCTCTGCCTTGGATTTATTCTAAAAACATGGCCACTATAAATCTGAATATATTTTTAAAACACTACTACAACTCTTCTCTTAATACTTAATTCTCATATCATATATTTAAACGTTCTTATGTTCGTCACTAATTATTATTAATAATTAACGCGCAAAGTTTAGTTTAAGATTTAAACTTTAAAATGTGTACTTTCATCTTAAAATTTTCATCTGAGTGAGACTTGAACCAGATTATGTAGATGATGAAGGCTAACGCTCAACTTCAGCTTCAAACCAATGATTTACAATAAGACGCTCTCTGGACCACAGCACTGCTTTAAATGCAACGGTTAATAGAGGGACTTACTGCTGTAAAGCTTCCCTCCAAACAGCGATCACATGACCACTGCTCGCTGATGTCATCTGCAGCAACACCGTAGCAACCTAAACGACAGAGAAGGGGATGAAAATCAGTCACTAACTCGCACACGGCTAAGCTGGTGAAGTCAGAGAAAGAGAAAACATTAAACTCCACAGGAAAGTCTCCTGTTGCAGAGCGACATTGAAGTGGTGACGTTTCCTTGTAGATAGGGATGTCCCGATCCGATCACATGATCGGAAATCCGGCCCGATCACGTGGTTTCAGACTGATCGGGACTCGGGATACTGGGTTCAAATTACAGGAGAGCAACTTGGTTCTCCTTAAAGGTTGTCAGGCTCCCGATGCCCCCAACTTACACACCCAGAAGGAGCACAAAAAAGATCCAGTTTCTACCTTTATTATATTATTTATATGGACTCAAGAGTAGCTGGGATTCTTTTGAGCAGAGATGCAGGCTGACCACTGATAATTCATGAACTCCAGCTGCGTTCTGCACACGGCCACAGTAACATTTTCTAAGTTTCTAAGTGGCGTCACCAAAAAACATACAAGTAACACACAGTCGTTCGTGTCCGTTCATTTTCTCTCTGGTAAGTTCTGTCTGTATTTGAGCATGACGTGTGGACGCGCTCGCGCTGCCCCCGCTGCAGCGCTCGTCACTGGCGCAGCCGGGCAGCGCGGCGCACACACCGCTTTTTTTGCGGTCAATAGATCAATTTGATCTGCTAGTTAAAAAGTTACTTGTGAGGTGAAAAAGAAGGAAGCAGGCAGGAGTTTTTCTGGAGGACTGGGAGATGCAGGAAGATCAGAGACAGACAGGACATGAAGATCAGAGACAGACAGGACATGAAGATCAGAGACAGACAGGACATGAAGATCAGAGACAGACGGGACATGAAGATCAGAGACAGACAGGACATGAAGATCAGAGACAGACGGGACAGGAAGAAAGGAAAATAAAAACCAAGAAAACAAAACTAAGTTCTTAAAAACAGAAAATGTAGGTAGATTGATCCCACTACACGTTTGTACCTGTATAAAGCAATCATTTATCAGCATGTAGTATTTATATAGTTGATACAACTCAGATCATCTTCAAAACTCTGTCCCATGCCCAGGGACGTATCTAAGCATTTTGGGGGCCGAGGCTAAATAGACCCCTGCCAGGTATTTTAAGTTGAAGTGCTATCCGTTTTTATATTAGACTTTTTATATTTGCAGTAAAGTCCAAAAGTGAAGAATTTATGTTATTTATTATTTGATTGTTCAAGCTACTTCACAGAAGTGATCTGTTGTTAAAAATTAAAATAAAAAGGTAATTAAACAAAAAATAAGGAACATTCTGGAACTGTTTATTCTTTTTCTTTCTTTTTTTTATGTATCGAAAGTATCGGATCGGGACTTGGTATCGGCAGATTCTCAAAATCAAACGACTCGGACTCGAGGGCAAAAAAACCTGATCGGGACATCCGTACTTGTAGACATGAACAGAACTGCAGACGATGTACAAATTGAGATCTCAGTGGTTTATGTGAGTGTGCATGTGCGAGAGAGCGCGAGAGAGAGAGAGAGCGCATGAGAGAGAGAGAGAGAGCGCGCATGAGAGAGAGAGAGAGAGAGAGAGAGAGAGAGAGAGAGAGAGAGAGAGAGAGAGAGAGAGAGAGAGAGAGAGAGAGAGAGAGAGAGATCAGTGTGGTCAAGATATGGAAAAAGCAATACAGAAGCCTGTCAGAGCTCTGAAATGTCTGTTTGTGTTTATTTGTGGACACTGTGCTCTCGTTATATCACTTAGTTCTGGGATGTAATTTTGCATCGCAAAGCTCCGCCAAGGGTTTTACAAAAATACAAAAATAATAAATACATAAAACAGATTTTTTCATCTGTAGCCCAGAACTTCATTCTCCAAATTTGGTTAAAAAAAAGTGAATCCTTTTTTTTTTTTTAACTCTAGCAGCTGGTTTAATTTCCAAGCACTGAAGTATTTGGACCCGTAAGAAACTTATTTTTACAAAGCGCCTAAAGTCCACATGTGCGTGTACGTCTGTGCTCTTTTCCTCGAGGATCCATCACAAAACCAAAAGTAAAATCTAAGCCCACCTCTGTTTCCTTTCCAGAGTTCAAATTACAGCACAGACAGGAATCTACATCAACTTGTGCTCATTCTTGTGTCTGAAAACCAAACTTGTGGCTTTTTCACCAGCGTCAAATGACATACGCTTCATCTCTTACTCCCACACACACATACACGTACACAAGCGCGCGCCACGTAATTACAAATGCAGTACAGCTGTCTGCGCGCACACCCCGGGACGTGCAAAGTAAAATATGTGGCAGAATAAAATCTAGAATCAGTGAATCATTCCGACTTTGGGAAACGCTGTGAATGTTAGACAGGGAGCGCTGCATTTGGACCTAACGTGGGGCTGGTCCTCGCTCAGTGTCGGGGAGAGAGACCGTGAGAACTGCAGGCAGAATATCATCTGCATATTGTCAAACACAAAGGTAAACATTATTGCGGGCTTGTTTCTGGTTCGGGGCTTTTGAACAGGAACTACGTGTGGTGAAGATGAAAGATTCACCCTCATTCAGCTGACGGGGGAAATAAAATACCTAAAACCGCAGAGAGAAAGACGGGGGGGGGGGGCTGATTAGGGGGTGGAACATTTAGATGGTGTGAGTCAGGATATAAACCCACTGACCCTCTGACAAAGCCATCAAAGAGGCAAAATGTGGAAATAAACTGTTTGACTGGTGGCCTTCATGAAATACAGTGAGTGTAAACAGTAAAACACGCCACCGCTCCATGTCCTGCACACTTGCATGCATACATACTTGCGTGGACCTGCAGGCAGCAGCCCTGGCAGTAGAGGAGAGGAGATGTGCCATCTTCCTGCAGCAGCGGGTTCGTAGGAGTCGGAGGGCAGTTCTGCTCTCGGAAAGAGAAGCAGATCTCTGGGATCAGGGGCTTTGTCCTCCTCAGCCCTCCACAGGGAGGTGTGAAGCCTGCCACCAGAGGAGAAGATTTGGAGGTGTCCTTCGCTGTGACGGCTTTAGTGTCCTCAGCCCTGTCATCAGCCTGTAGGAGGAAGAGACGGGGTAATTTTCAGGCTTCAGTTCAGACATTAACAGACTGGAATGCTGACAGGTTAGGTGGGTGACAAAATGGTTGCCCTGCTCTTTTGTGATGGCGGTTGTCATTCTCCGTGACATTTTAGTTAGCTGAAGATTACAGGGGCTGAACAGACCCACATGACAACTGTGACCTGCGGGCTTAGTATCATTTCCGTTATTATTTACCAGCAATTATTCGGCAGCAACTTTTGCAAACAGAGAGCAATTAGCTTCCTTTATTCCCACAGCGTGACTGAAGTCTTATTTACCTGATAATACGGCATGAAAAGCGTGCACACAGCACAGTATGGCTGCATGGTGGCAGCCTGAGCATTGTACTCCCTCTCTGCTGTGAAGCAGCTCTTCCTGCTCTGCCAAAGGTAGATGAGGGGCTTCGCCCACGCCTCCACCTCCCGCTCCCCCTCCTCCTCCTCCTCGGCCAGGCTCGCTTCAGGGGGCTCTGTTCCAAAACGACAAACACCTGAGCTTCAAGATTAATATTCAACTCATTTATTGCAACACAGTGTAAAGTTTTATAATGAATTAAGAAGTTGTTTCTACAATGGAGGGTTTAGCCGTCAGGATTTATGTGAGAACAAGAATAACTGATATAATAAATTGCATGGATCCCTTTGCCACGTGACATTTGATTATCCCGTTTCATCTTTTCTCAACTCTTAAAGGGCAGAAACAAACTCGATCCAATCGTTTACTGGCTTAGATAGAAGAAGCCATGAACTTATCTATTAAAAACTTTTATTTTTCTTCATCATGGCCGAAGTCAATTCTCTGCCCGACTGTTTGCTAATTAAGCCCATTTCTGATTATAGAAAACAGCACACATCATTTTCATGATTGACTTTTCCAGCATTCCAACTCATCTGCCGACTTGCTGCTCAAATCCCTACTCCGGAGAATTTATTAGCAGCATTTTAATGGCTTCATTAGAAACGACTGTGGTGTTATCAAAATGACAGCAGCTGACAACAAAACAGGAGTCAGATTAAAAAACATGTACGCCTTCATCACTTTGAGGGCTTTCTTCCTGTTCAAATTGACAAATATATGTTTTAACTGATTGTTCTGCCACCAAAATCCACAGACATCAATCACTTACTGGAGAAAGTAGATGTAGCTTGGCTTTATGAAGGAAAATGTTTTCTGAAAACTGGAATGTTGCAACTTAATTTCATTTCATGATTTAAGTCCTTGCTTGAAGGAATACACGTTGCCTTTCATACAGCATTTTAAAAGGACTATTTTTTGCGAAATCAACTTTTTGGAGTTTTTGGACGTTGGACCATATTATATTGCAATTTCCTCATGAAAAAAAATACCCAAAACAGATTAAGCTGCATTTTCCTGTCTTACCCCTGCTTTCCACAGGAGCCGTCAGCAGCACGTTACTGCAGCAGCACGTTTTGCTCGCGTAAGCTGCTGCTTGGCCCTTCCCACGAGACGCGAAGCAGCAGGGGGGCAGCTGTCGCTGACAGAGCACGAAGTCACACGAGTGACTTAGTCAGTAAACACAACAACAAGCAGGAGAAAACTACAACATGGTTTGTGTTTTATGTTCTGTCCGTTTTATAATCGCCAACACGGACCTGAAAAACAAAGGAGACCGCTAGCTAGGTGATAACGTCTCACGGGGCCGCACAGTTGGTAACCTTTTTAAAAGTAAAGCAACCGGAAAGCAGTACGTTCTTTATTCTGAAAATCTCGGGAGCTTCTCTCCATTTCCGCGTCCGATTTCCTGTCTTTCCTTCCCCAAAAATGTCGAACTTGACCCGTTTCAGAGGCGTCGCGCGTAGAAAATAGAACCGGTGCGTAAAGGCCGCGACATGCTGCTCCTGAGACGCGGCCGACTCGCGCTGCTGACGGCTCCAGTGGAAAAGGTTCTGTTGACCACAGCGGTTCCTATCAGCAGCTATGACGTGCTGCTGCAGTAACGTGCTGCTGACGGCTCCAGTGGAAAGCCGGGGTTAGCTGCAGATCCCCTGCAGGTCTGCCAAGCTAAAGCAACAGCTGGATGGAGCATCTTTTCGTCACAATATCCCACTCCTCCCCATCCCGGTAGTGCCTAAACTGCACGCTCCTCCCCTGGCCTGTAAACACTAACGCCCACTCTCTCCAAGTAGACAGCGGGTGATATAATCCCTGCAGTTGTGAAGAATTTATTCCATTCTAATCTAGTCTGCACTTTTGATCAAGCCTAAGTGAAAATGTGTTTTTGTCTGCGAGGGGTACAGGAATTTGTTCAGTCTTCCTACAGAACCGTTTAATCAGCAGAAATGGTTGGATTTTATCTTCTGGAGCTCTCATAGTCGAGTCAGTATGTGTTTGTCAGTGACGGTGATTTCACAGCCTGTTTATTTAACCATTGCTAGTACTAGAGTGGGTTTTCAGACCGATTACTTCTTCAAACTAACTAACAAATCCAACATCAAAACCACCCGATGGATAGAACAGAGCGGTCAACCAAAATGCTAACTGCTAACCGCTAACTAAACGTTGATAAAGTTTGGAGAGTCAGGGATGTACTGGACTATTAATTCATCCAGCCTGACCGGACCTGACCTCGCCGAGTGGGCCAGTTCAGCTGCCAGGCTACTGGGAAATGTCCCAGTGCTCCTGGTGGCCAAATTGCCACTGGTGGTGTGCATAGCCAGAGCTCCTGTTGCTGTTTGCTTCTTCTGCTACTTCTTATTCTTCTTCTCCTTCATGGCCCATGATGCTTTGCTGGGGATCTACAGTAGAGCTACATCGTGAGATTTAATCCAATTCACGCATCTTATTTTCAGGTTGAAAAAATACCTCAAGGATATTTTTCAATATATAAAATTTTTGAACAAATGACACTTCCATTGTGCCAATGGTAATAATAAAGTTTAAAATAGCATGATACCAATCCTTTAAAATGGACTATGGCAGATTATGCATAATCTCAAAGAATATCACAAAATCAGGTAGTTTGAAAAAAGTTTTGTGAATTTAATGATAATGATAAATGATCTGCACTTGTATAGCGCCTTTCAGAATCAGAGGACTCCAAAGTACTTTACACTACAATGCATCATTCAACCATTCACACACACATTTATACTCTGGTGGTGATGAGCTACATTGTAGCTACAGCTGCCCTGGGGCACACTGAAAGAGGCGAGGCTGCCGAGAACAGGCGACACCGATCCCTCAGACCACCACCAGCAGGCAAGGTGGGTTAAGTGTCTTGCCCAAGGACACAACAGCAGAATTCTCTGTCCGGAGCCGGAATCAAACCTGCAACAATCCGATTACTGGACAACCCGAGCTACTGCTGCCCCAGTATCTCTGAAAAAGGACAAATTTACAGACTATGTAAACCAGTGGTTCCTGATCCCCACAAGGGGGCGCCAAAGCCTCTCAGTGGGTCACCAGGACCTCTCCACTTTAAGGGGTTAAAACTTCATTTATTACTTGTTTATAGCCTACATTTTGCTCACACTTTTTTTCATGAGTGAAAAGTTTACTGATATTAAGACAGGAAATAATTAGTACAGAAAATGTAACACACTTTCAAGAACATTTTGCTCAGCTCACTGTTTTATTTTCAAGTGTCAAAAGTTCATTAAAGATAGGACTGGTTGATTAATCACAGCATTTACAGTAAATAATCTAGTATAAACAGTAATATACACATTTAAGTACATTTTGCTCAGTGTTTTTTTTTATGTGTCAAACGTTTATTGAAAGGAATGATTGATTTATCAGTGTTTACAAGAAACAATGTGTTCAGAAAAGTAATACAAACTGTCAAGCACATTATGCTCTGTTTGGTTTTGTTAATGACTTTGTTCTGTACTGGAGCCTACTATTACTGTTATCTATTGAATCAAAGCATATTAAAATGTGCTTGAACAATTTAATTATTTCTTAATACTGTTTGTACCGGAAGAGAGAACGGGAGGGGGTTGTCAAAAATTTTACTGGTAAAAAACGGGGTCCCTTGGGAAAAAGGTTGGGAACCACGGATGTAAACCATAGTAAACCGACCAGCTGTGGCGGCCATCTTTAATTGGATTGACTCCAAATGTTAATCAAGCTGTATCCACATTTGGGGCATGCATCCTTCAAAGGCTGCATTTGAAGGCCAATTACGTCATAGCAATGTGTTGAAGGCTGTCTAAATTAGATAGTTCCTCCAAGTGAAAACCACGTGTGTGTTGTTTTTTTCCTCGGATTTGAAGGACAGGTATGGTGTATTCTTCGTAGCCCATCCCATCACAAAATGTACATTTGATGATTATTTTGGAAGCGTTTAATTAAAATCCTGTCAGTGGTTCAATTTATTTTCAGTTTACATTGACCTAATTCAACTTTTGCGGTAACCCCAACAGGAGACAGGGAGAATGTGACGCTGGTTTTCTTGGTGACATTCCAGACATTTTTGGTGTACGTGAATATTCTAAAACGTTACTCAGGTGTTGAGTTTTGTCCATTTTTATTTAGTACTTCCCCTTCAAAGCCAGCAGCAAATTGATGCAAATGAAGGGAATTGTGCAGCACCAACTAACTTACTTTGTAGCTTTAAGCCCACTTTTATGTGGCTAGAAGGAAATTAGTGACTTAACAGGGGCTTCAGTTAGAAGCTATTGATTCAAAAAGTGAGAATCTATTCAGATTTGCTCAACCAAAAAATCCACTTTATTCGCAAGAGGAAGGTTTCTTTACAAACCAGTGTGTGCACTTTGCGAATCGGAGCAAGTAAATGACCAAACTGTGAGCATACGTCTATAACAGGGAGCCGAGGAAAATAACTGGTGCTTCAATATTTGTTAACATAAAAATCCCTCAAAATAATTAAGCCTCCTTCCAAGTATAAAACAGGCCTTTCATAGCCACGCCCATTTGATCGTCATTCCTTCGTTAGAGATAAACAACTACAGTTCACAGCCATGGAGATCGTCGTCGTCTTCCTCTACTAATCCGGGTCCGGATCGCGGGGGCAGCATCCCAACTAGGGAGCTCCAGACCGTCCTCTCCCCGGCCTTCTCCACCAGCTCCTCCGGCAGGACCCCAAGGCGTTCCCGAACTAAAATGGAGATGTAACCTCTCCAAAGTGTCCTGGGTCGATCCGGGGGCCTCTTGCCGGCAGGACATGCCCGAAACACCTCCCCGGGGAGGCGTTCAGGAGGCATCCTGACCAGATGCCCAAACCACCTCAACTGACTCCTTTCGATCCGGAGGAGCAGCGGTTCTACTCCGAGTCCCTCCCGAATGTCCGAGCTCCTCACCCTATCTCGAAGGCTGAGCCCGGCCACCCTACGGAGGAAACTCATTTCGGCCGCTTGTATCCGCGATCTCGTTCTTTCGGTCATTACCCAAAGCTCATGACCATAGGTGAGGATTGGGACGTGGATAGACCGGTAAATCGAGAGCCTGGCTTTCCGGCTCAGCTCCCTCTTCACCACGACAGATCGGCTCAGCGTCCGCATCACTGCAGACACCGAACCAATCCGCCTGTCGATCTCCCGATCCCTCCTACCCTCACTCGTGAACAAAACCCCGAGATACTTAAACTCCTCCACTTGAGGTAGGACCTCTCCCCCGACCCGGAGTTGGCAAGCCGCCCTTTCCCGGTCGAGTAGTAGTATAAAACAGGCCTTTCATAACCACGGCCATTTGATTGTCATTCCTTCGTCAGAGATAAACAACTCCAGCTCACAGCCATGGAGATGATAGATGTAACTATGTGGGTTAGGGTTAGGAGCATAAAGAGTTGGTAGGGAGGTCACTCCCTCCAAGATTATTAAAACCATGAAAACAAATAGATGATTTATCACAAAGTCATTGTTCTGAGGTAGACCAGAGGACTTAATGTTTATGTGTGCGTGTGCGTGTGCGTGTGTGTGTGTGTGTGTGTGTGTGTGTGTGTGTGTGCGTGTGTGTGTGTGTGTGTGTGTGATGACGTCAGACTGTTTTATTGCTGCTGGTGGTTCGGATAATTAGAAAAATAAGGAAGGAGAAAAGGATCTCAAAATTGAATGATTTACTTTGGGAAAGCACAGATTTTATTATTACTGTCTGATTAGCGTGATTACGTTCTAGGTTATTTTTTTGTTATAATGTCATCTTTAACAAACATTTTGTCTTTTCCGCAAAGTTAAATAAGCTAAAAAAAACTTGAGGGTGGCCATATTTTGGATCACTGCAGTTTAAAAGAAACCAGAGGATCGTGGTTTCTGGCCCGTCGCCACCCACCCATGCAACACAAACCACAACAGGAAAGGACCCTGGGTTTCTGTCCAAATGACTGAGCCTGGCTAACAATACATGTCTTTACAAAGCTAAACCACAACAATAACTCTAAACGAACCACGTGTGTGTGTGTGTGTGTGTGTGTGTGTGTGTGTGCGTGCGTGCGTGCGTGCGTGCGTGGAGAGAACATGCCCACCCTCATCACTGGTGGCCTGTTGCTTGACAGCAGTGGGCACAGCTCTTGCAGTGGGTTTCCTGAGTGGATGACGCCAGCTTTTAGAAGTCCTCTTCGCTGACAGGGTCGGGTACTGGCACACAAACGGAGATGAACAAAATGTTTAAACAGCTGTGTGAAGATCTGAAATCTGCACATTACTGCTGTGTGTAAAGAGCACTCACAGCACAAACCTCTCCTGGTTCAAGGCCGGGATCTTCGCACTCGTACTTATTTGAGTCTAATTCATCCTCGTCCTCCTCCGATGACGACGACTCGCTGCTGCTCTGCCCCTTGCTTTGTAGCTCTGCCTGTTCACTATCGGATTCCCCTTCTTCCATATCCGACTCTCCATCATGTCCCCCCCCTCCTGTCCTAACAGGCAACATTTCCTCCACTTCCCTTTGCCTGCTGAGCAATAAAGACTCAGCCCCATCCACTTCGTCTCGTTGCAAGTCGTAATCTTCACAAAGTCCCAGAGGCTCAATAGCACAGACTGAAAGTAGAGAGGTGGGCTCCAGTTGGGCCCAGGTGGGGGCCCCACCTATGTCTTCCTGATTCTCTGACCTTTGAAGGTCTTTTGCTGGGTCTTCCAGGTCTGTGACCTGTTTGCACTGAGGTTCAGTCCACATGGTGTAGGGCAGAGGGTCATGGGAGAAATCATGGGAGAGGTCTGGGTGCAGACTCTGGATGAGGACTGCAGGACCCTGGGAACTGAAGTTCTTCCAGATGCTACTGGAGAATGGTTTGGGCTCTATGTATGCATTTTGGTAAGAACAATGGGAAGAAGAAGAGAGTGTCGTGTGGTGGTTGACTTGCAATACTGGGTGATTGTCATTTTGAGTGCACCGAAAAGGGTCAGAGTTAAGGAGACAATTGTTTGTATTGTAGGACGCCAATGGGCAGCCCAGACTACTCATATCGTCTCTAGGAGCTGTGTCTTTGGAGTCATCTTGATGCTTATCTGACATGTTGGACTGAGGAGACGTTGTTGCAACCGTCTGGCTGACGGCAGCATCACTCAGTCCAGAAGTAATCATTTCCTGCTTTGTTTGATGCTTTTCTGGAACAACTGAGGACATTTCAAGCATCTCATGGCCATGAAGAGGGGTTATTTTGTGAAAACCACCAGGAGCTAAATTTGCAGTGTTTCCTTTAAAACCAGACATTGCTGCCTCTTCAGGATTCACTGGAGAATCTTTACGCCAGTCGTCAGCATGTTCTACTGCACGGGGATCAGTTGAGCACATTGCATCTTCCTCTTCGTCTCCACGAGAGGATGGAGACCCGGTTGGCGTCTCCCTCTGAAGCACAGGTGCAATTTGGTGGCTGCATGATGTTGACTTTGGGAAATCAGTAAAGGCATCATTTGCATGGGTGAGGGAGGGCATCTCTTGCGTCAGAACTGGGGGTAGAGGACAAATCCCGACCCTATCCTCTGGCTCTAGTGTGAGCTGTGGCATATCAACAGTAGTCTTCTGCAAAAGTGGAGGCAAAAGACCTTCTTCACTGCTGCCTGTTACCACACTGCTTCTGTGTTGTGAGGAATGGAAGGAGCCATTTAATGTGTGACTATCGCCCTCTGCTGGTTCACTCCTTACATCATAAAGTGCTTCTGTGGTGTAGTGTGGATTAATACATGTAGGATCAACAACCGTCTTCTCTGGTTTACCAGCGCTGTTCGTGTGGTTCTCAGTACCCGTGTGCTTACTGCTCTCTGCTTTCAAACGTAGGTTTTCAGATGAGGAACTTGTTGCGTTAGCTCTCGTTTCAGGGGGACACGAGTCCATTTCTGCCTCAGGGGAGCTGTTTGTGTTGGAGGTGAGGTCTTGAGGCATGGAAGAGCAGCACCTTGACTCATTAACTCCCGGGTGCATCCGAGTAGCCTCAGGACTTCGTGTAAATCCTTCAGGACTCGCCTCTGTGACCCCGGGCCCAGAAGGGTCCTGAGAGTCCGCAGCAGCTGACTTTAGCTCAGTTTGTACCGGTGAGGTGGTGGAGCTGGAGGTGCGGGACGCATCATTACCAGATTCCAAACCTTTACTCTCCACGCGATTAACCTTCACCACACACATCTGTCTGCAAGACCCTGTCAAAGGCAAAGGGCAAATAAACAAACAGCTGTTTAGAACACAAACAACTCCAGCAGAGTAGACATCATCAATAACGAAATGGTGTCTGAAAGTGGGTTACAGGAAGGGAGAAAATGATAAAGACGATGATACTGATCGTTTGGGTGTGAAATTAAAGTGCTGAAATCAAACAGGCCAAACTGCAAATCAAACTTTTGTTTAACAATGAATTTTGTGCTCATTTTTAGACTGAAAAGTGAATTTGGGTTGGTAAACATTGGCTGTAACAGATACAGGGTATCTGCAGGTTTAAGGGAGCCAAATTTAAGACTTTTTAAGACCTTTTTAAAGGCAACTTTGACCAAATTTAAGCTATTTTTAAAATTAAATAAATTTAAGCTATCATTTCCAGCTATTGCCTAGAACCGGTGCTAACCACATCGCAAACGTGGGATTAGCCATACAGTTACCATTAAACTTCCCCATGGCACAAGCTCCCACTAGCTTAACCAGCTAATGTGCTCATCTAAAAATAGCCCCCTTTCACAACCAACTGAATGTGTACGGTTCCGCTTACGCCAACATCGTACACAAAAAATGCTGAAGACTAACTAGAAATTCACAAAATTTTTTTTGAAATAAAAGAATCTTGTTTAGTGGACCTTTGGTAATTTAAGACCTTTGGAAACTGTATTTAAGGATTATTTGTCATTTTTAAGGATTTTTAAGGCCTTAAATTTAGAAAAGGAAATTTAAGACTTTTTAAGACTTTTTAAGGACCCGCAGATACCCTGCTTCAAGCTTCAACAACATATTGATAGTTTTATCACAAAAGGCCAAACAAACCTTAAAAATGATCTAAGATATGAATAAATGGTTCCACAATAAATACAGGGTTTAAAATGATATCAAAAATGTATAAGAGCCCCCGGGCGCTTAGAATAACCAGTACTGCTTACTTTAACTCATTCACTGCCAATGACGACTAAAGTCGTCATTTGCTTTTTTTTTTTACTGTTTGAGCATCGGAACGAGCCCCCGCGATGATAGAACAAACATCTCAGCCCTGAAGCCGATCTTCATCCGCATACGTCACAGATCACATGATCAGGAAGCAACACATCCATGTGTTAGGAGATCGTTTTGGGCCGTTCCTGTAAAAAAAGTGAGGCGCGAACCGGAAAAGCGTCTGCCGATCACAATTCGACAACGGATTATGAAAGAACGGATAACGCTCGAAACACGCGGCTTCTTCCTGATGTAAGAGGTGAGTCTCCTCTTTGTTTTGGTTGTTTTGGCATCGACATCATGCTAGCATGCAAAGTTCCGTGACTCTTAAAAAACAGTAAAAACGGTGAGAAACGCTGGCAGCGAATGCCGTTAGTGATCCGGAAACGGCTGGCAGTGAATGAGTTGAGTTAAAGAAAGAAGGAAGTGTGGTTAAAACATTCTAAAATGTAGTAGTGGATAACTTTCTCAGCATGACGGGGTGAAAATGGCTCAGAAGTCATATTTTAGACTTTGCTGAAGAAATCGTGGCTCTCGGAAAATCGATCATTTTCCCTCACCTTCGGCCTGCTCAGGAATACAGACCTTTTGGCATGCTGCTTATACAGGAATCATTCAAAGGAAATGTTACATTTAGCCGAGAGGAACTTGACCTATGAATGCATGACTAAAAGATCATTATGGAATCACAAGCATGGCAGCTATAAAAGCTCCCAGTAAGAAGTGCCCCATGCACAGCCCTGCTATAAACACATGAATGACAGATTTTAGATATTCTGAAAATGTTTTGATCTAATCCCCTTTGTTGCCTTAATTAATAAATAAAAAGTTATGTAAGAATTTTCTGTTGCTCAAAATTACCCAGAAGCGCCTCTTACCAGAAAGTTGTGATAAATTTGGATTCCGGCTTTGCATGGACTCCGTTTCCTTCTTCTTCCCCTTCTCCGCATCTTTGCTCGTCATTCCCGCTGCGTACCTTCTCACCTTGGACCTAGAAGGGCCACCCAGCCCTTTCTTCTTACTGCAGTTCAATGCCACGCCACCATCTAGGTCCACTGGCTCCTCTGTGGTCCTGAGGCGCTTAGAGCGCATACGAGAGTGACTACTGCTGTGAAGACAAGACCATGAGAGTCAAAACACCCACCAGACTTGGTTTACGCAACCTGAATTATTTAGTTGAGAATCTCTACCAAAAGCCACTACTGACCATATTGTTAGAATACAGTCAAAACTCTACAGGTTTCATATTTTACCCCACACACGTAGCACCACTACCTCACCCATCTCCAACAAAGAGAACATTTAAAGGTGTCAGGTTAAACACAGTACCCTTCGTTAGTTGACTTGGTTTTGCGGCGCCTCTGCAGCCAACTCTGCAGCTCTGGTGTTGTGCTGGGAGTGGGAACAGTGTGGTCAATAAGGGTCGAGCCTTTGCCCAGCATCCAGTTAGCATAGCGATCCGGCTGAAATTGCTTCACAAAAGGCTCCATGGAGATCTTCACCATGTCTTTGCTGCAAGTGCACTGAAGGAGGGAAAACAAAAAGGTACAATCACCCTAATATATAAAAAAAACATTTTAAACACTGCTTCCCAGTCTTTTTAGGGACAAAGTGGATATGAAACAGTTTCCTCAGTAGTCTGATTGTGAGGTTACCTGTGTGGCCGCCTTTCCATAGTCTATCCAGCGCACTGTGGCAAAGTTGGTGGACTCGGCACAGTTGAAGCCGTGATTGAAACCAGCGTGGTAACCATATGGGAAGGTGATCATAAACTCTCCAGCTTCCTGAGTAATCTGACAGCGTATCACCGAGATCGGAGATTAGTTTATGTTCCGATAACAGAACAAGCCCCTCGTGCTTTCACACAGGTGGAACGTTTACCTTATCGAAGGGAATTCCATACTTCTTTAGTATGAACGGGGAAATTAGAGTCATTTTGTGACGAAGGAAAGCCTCACATCCCTTGAAGCTGTTGGGGAAAAACCCTGGAGAGAAAACACACACAGAGAATCTCTCAGAGAGTTAAGCAGGTAAAAATCAGCCTGTTTCAACATTAATAACAACACACCGAGTTTTCATTCATGGAGGAGTGATAAAAAGTAATGATGGTGGCCAGAATGTTCATGGATCATTAAGGCCTAGTCCACACGTAGCCGGGTTTTTTTTAACGAATATCCGCCCCTCCAAAAACTTGCATCCACACCACCTCGTTTAAAAAACAAACTCTGTCCACACGTACCCGGATAAATACGTTGTTAAGGACATGCCAGACCTGTAGGCGGCAGTACTTCCCCCGTTCTTAACCTCGTCCTTCGTCTGTGGTCTTCCGCAAGGAGCAGTAATTCCGCTTGCAAAAACAAAAAAGCAAAAAGCGCTTGGACAATTGATAAAGCGAGCGCAGCTCTGAGGGCATCCATGCTGTCGGCTAGTGTAAACACAGGTCGCACACGTGATGTCAGCATTTTTTTTGTCACGGAAAGTGACGTTGCGGACCTTAAAACTCCGGTTTTGTCTGTCCACACGCAGACACCCAAAACGGAGAAAACGCAGATCTTCGCTTTGGCCGGAGTTTTTAAAAAGATCCATTTTCATGTGAAAAAACTCCGTTTTCGTGTGGATGACAGGCCAAAACGTAGAAAAATATCTACGTTTTGGCAGATCTCCGGCTACGTGTGGACAGGGCCTAAATCAATGAGAATAAAGGAACACATGAACATTAAACATGTCATTAAATGTGACAGCAAATGGATAACTGTCAACCTCACCCGTGTCCCATGACCTCTGACCTTAACCATAACCAGTTTAGGCCTGCTGTGTTTTAGAGGTTGTTCTAAGTTCTTTTGATTTCTTCAAACTTCTCTTGAATAGATCATGAAGTGTTGCTTTAGAGATCTTTCAGCCTAATTCGTAGAGGTAAAGGGATTTTTTTATTCTGCAGGTCTGGTAGCAATCAGGCTAGTGTAGGGATGCACAGATATGAAATTTGGGCCCATACCCATACCTGAAATTAATATCGCTGCTATCCATCCCTAGGCTGGTTTGTAGCTGACAGAACTGAACTCACTTACAGATAATGTGGTTTATCAGTTAATTCACAATGTAACAATAGGGTTACTCTCTTAGGTTGGTTTAGTTAACGGTTTTACCCAGGTTGTCTTTCTGATACTGATAATTGTTTTCTGGTTTGAAATATAATAAGAAAAATAAACGGGCAAACAACATTTGACATAAAAATGGATGATAAAGCTTCAAATGAACTGGTGCCATTTGTAAACTCACAAACATGTAAACATTTAACTACTTCCACATCTCCACATTTATCCCGAACAGCTTTACCGTTTTACATCGTCTTCATTCAGACAGATTTCTTGTACAATTACTGCTCATCTTGATTCGAGCCACCAGAACAAAGAGCATCAGTTATTCTCTGACCTGTAGCCAGACGCTCCAGTCTTTTCCCGTGCTCGGGGGGGATGGCGTACCTGTTAGAAGGGGAGACACACACTTAGTTTTGACTTTGCATTTTTCTCAGTTACCAGAAAGAAACTCAAGGCTGCCATCAAGTGGTGGATGAATCATTCTTCTTTCACAACACTGAACTGATACCAAACAGTTAAATCATTTTCTTATTAGGTCTAATCATTCTGTAATCTGACTACTTCGTTTTAAATTAGATGTGATTATTTGCTAGTCAGACTCCCTAATCTTACTACTGTAAACTAAAACTACGAATATCTTCTTAAAACAGACAAAATAACCCGTCACTGATTGCTAACCAGTTGAGGTTTACGGTAAATTTGAATGACATTATTCTGCATTTTTTCTTGTGTAACACTGCTGATGCAGTTTAAATGTAAACCTCTTCCTAAACTTCCCAGCGGGAAACTGAAAGCATGACAGAAATCCCTCAAGGTTTGACTATGCATTCCATTTGACTCGCTCCGTCCGACTTTGGGTCTGTGGGGCTTCTAACATCATGTCACCTGTCAGCTTAACACAGCACCGAGAGGCGCGGTAAGAGGGGACGCCACCTTTAGCGGAGGTGAAGCAGGGAACGGGGGGGAGGTGGTGGAGAAGATGGGCAGCTCTAAGCTGCTCCCCTCCTAAGATGAGATGTTGGAAAAGCAGCAGGATGAAAAGAGCTCAGCGGTGTGTGTGTGTGTGTGTGTGTGTGTGTGTGTGTGTGTGTGTGTGTGTGTGTGTGTGTGTGTGTGTGTGTGTGTGTGTGTGTGTGTAAGATGATAAAAGCATGTATGTGTGTGAGTACCTAGCACACAAAACATGTGCGCGCGCGTGTGCGTGACATTGTCTAGCTGGCTGTGACACCAGCTCCTGTGGGGGTTGCAGGGTTCGCTGCTCTAATGAGCAGATCTACCTCCAGGGGAAGGAAACACGGCGAGTCACACTGACACAGAAATAAAAAGTAAACTGTGTTCTGATCAACCTCCATTCTCCAGCTTCTTCTTGTACATTGCTTTATTTCTGGCTTCCAAATCTTCACACCAACAGCTTTGTAGCTGCGTAGACTAAACTAAAAGCTGGATGTCTGATATGGTCTACAGCATTATGAGTGATTTTCTCCATTTTAAAGTAAAAGTCTATATTTTATACCCTCTCATTCAGCGGGGTAATCCCCAACGTACAAGCACCAAGATGGAGGGCAACTAGTACGCCCAACCCTGCTCGGCGCCTCTCAGTAGGAGCAACTCCAGAGTGGCAGAGTGTCCAGCCCCTTTCAAGGAAACTGGTTCCGGAGTCAGAGCCATGCGCCGAGGTGAGGTGAGTCTGACTATATCTAGTTGGAACCTCTCAACCTCACACACCAACTCAGGCTCCTTCTCCACCATTTCTGTAGCTGAGGACCAGACCGCCAAGTTTCCCCGTCTTTGACTACCACCCATCACACACTGCATCCGACCCCTTTGCCTCCCCCGCAAGTGGGGAGCCAATGGGATGAGAAACCCACATTTCCTCTTCGGGCTGTGCCTGGTCGGCCTCCAACAGTGAAAGCCCACCTCCAGGCCTGGCTCCAGAGGGGGACCCCGGTGATCCAGGTCGAGACCAGTGAACACGGTTTGCACTTGTATTAATCATCATAAGGGGGTCTGTGGGCTGAACTTTAATCCCTCACCGAGGACCTGTTTGCCATGGGTGACCCTGCCAAAGGCATAAAGCCTCAGACAACTTAGTCCTAGAATCGAGACACTCAAACCCCTCCACCACGATAAGGTGGCAGCCCAGGGAGGGAGGTCCATCTTGGTGCCTGTACATTGGGGTTTACCCCGGTGAACGAGAGAGTAGTTCCCTCCACCTACATGTGGGGTGACGGATCCTGACTGTTGTCTGTGCTTATGCACTAAACTAGAGTTCAGACTACCCACCCTTTTTGGAGCCCTTGGGAGGGGGTGCTGGAGGGAGTTCCTTCTGGTGACTTCCTCATTCGGTCATGTGGGCAACGACAGTGAGACCTGGAGAGGTGTGCTGGGGAGGAACGCCCCAGCCCCTCGATCTGAAATCGAGCTGTGCTCTGTTGTAGGACTTATGTGCTTCTCGCGGATTGTCCATAATGAACACTATGTTCTGATATAAAGGTGTCCATATGTGCCCTTGGCACCAGGATACCTTAGGCCCGCAGCTCAATGATCAACTTTGTTGTTATCTCATCTGGTCTGCAGCTGTATGTCTTGGACACTCGGGTGAAGAGAGGGGCGGAACTGTCAACTGACTACTACCTCATGGTGAGTTGGCTTCGCTGGTGGGGGAGGCTGTCGATCAGACCTGGCAGGCCTAAATGTATTGTGAGGGTCTGCTGGGAACACTGATGGAGTCTCCGGTCAGAAGAAATTTCAATTCCCACCTCCGACAGCCCTTCCAAATGTTCTGGAGGAAGCAGGGGGCACTGAGTCAAAGTGGGCCATGTTTCATGCTTCCCTTGTTGAGGTTGCTGACCTGAGCTGCGGCCGCAGGGTTGTCAGTGCCTGTCGTGGTGGAAATCCACGAACCTAATGGTGCACACCAACGGTTAGGAATGTGGTCAAGCTGATGAAAGAGACCCATCAGCTCTTTTTGGCCTGTGGGTCACCAGAGACAGCTAATGGGTACCAGCAGGCCAAGCGGAATGTCACAGATTCACAGAAGGAGTTCGGTGAGACCATGGGGCAAGACTTCTGTACAGCTTCAAGGATATTCTGGTCCACCATCAGGTGCCTCTGGACAAGAAAGCAGTGCACTACCAACACTGTTTATAGTGGGGACGGTGTGCTACTGACCTCGACTCGAGACCTCGTGGATCAGCGGGCAGAGTACATTGAAGACCTCTTCAATCTTACTAGAACGTCTTCCAGTGAAGAAGCAGAGTCTGGGGACTTTGGGTTGGGCTCTCCAATCTCTGGTGCTGAGGTCACTGAGGTGGTCAAAAGGCTCCTCAGTGGCAAGGCTCCGGGGGTGGATGAGATCCACCCAGAGTTCCTTAAGGCTCTGGATGTTGTAGGGTTGTGTTGGCTGACTCGGCTCTGCAATATCGCATGGACATCTGAGGCACTGGACTGGGAGACGGTGGTGGTGGTCCTCCTGTTTAAAAAGGGGGACTGCAGGATGTGTTCAAACTACAGCGGTATCACACTCCTGAGCCTCTGTGGTAAAGCCTATTCAGGGGTTTTGGAGAGGACGGTCCGACGGATTGTCGAACTTTGAATTCAGGAGGAGCAATGTGGTTTTTGTCCTGGCCGTGGAACACTGGACCAGCTCTATACTCTTATATGTGTGGAAATTCGCCCAACCAATCTACAGGTGTTTTGTGGATTTGGAGAAGGCATTCAACGCTGTCCTTCGCAAGGTCCTTTGGAGGTCCTGCGGGAGTATGGGGTACCAGGCCTTCTGATACGGGCCGTTGGGTCCTTATTAGGAGTGTCCCAAACCCGATACCTGGATCGGATCTGGACGATTTTTTCATATTTTCAGTGATCGGAGATCACCAATTTTAACAGGCGTGTCTTGCCGATCTCCTGAAAAAGACTATGAGCAAGTTAGCATATGCTACTTCCGGGGAGAAAACTACTGTAGAGGACCCCTTTTCCTGTGTGATAGTCTCGCCATGTTTACGGTCGAGTTGTCCAGAAGAAGTCAGCCAAATAAATAACGAATCACACAACGATTTACATTTCTCAAGATGTCTGGGACACTTACCGAATGGCTCCGCTCTCCTGTCGGCTCACAGGAGTTTAAATCTTTCCAGGGATACCTCAGAGCCTGATACGAGCTTGTTCATCCATGTCTCCATAAAAAAAATCAGGCTGTCAGTAGTCCCGCAATAGCCGGGTCAGCGCTGAGAGTTTGTTAATTTTATTGGAAGGAGTGAAGGAAAAATGGAACGTGAGATCGATAGGCAGATTGGTGCTACGTCTGCAGTGATGTGGGCGCTGTACCTAATCTAATATTTTGCTTTTATAATCCATCATTATCTGGGCTGATTATTCCTCAGTAGGGTCGCGCGGAGCTGGTGCCTGACTCTAGCAGTCATCAGGCAAGATGAGGGACAACCTGGACATGTCATCTGTTCATCAAAGACAAAAGCAACCAGTCACTCACTCACTCACTCACTCACTCACACCCAGAGACAAACAACCTAACATGCATGTTTTGGGTATGTTGGAGGAAACCAGAGTATCTGAGTAACCCCACAAATGCCAGCATAGTACAGAAAGTACCTGATGCGACACATTCAGAGATTATAGCTAGAGCTAATTTACAACTCCTGTCCCTAGATGGGTTTTCCTATACAATAATAAAACAATATAACTGAACAATAACAGTTGTCTTACACAGTACTAAAAACAATATTTAGACAACATAAAAACAAAGGTTAAAGTAGGAGATGTCCTATACTGAACTAAAACCTTCATATTTATGCAACAAATGATCCTACACAATATTAGAATCACAAGATTTATCATAAGTGTTAATCCAACAGTAAAAAGTGAGAAATATATTATAGAAGCTCATCTTAACAGTAGTAAAACATGAGAAAATAAAATGTAACATGTACTTTCACTTATCTATGGTCTGTATCTCTCATTAACTAAAAACTACAGGTGGGTACAATTTTGTTCTTTTCTCAGCCACAACTTAACCTTGAGGTGAATTCAGTTAATGCAGACAAGTTCTTCAACTAAGTTGGTAACAAGTTCCAGTTTTTAGCAGCTCTGTATAAAAATGATGTCAGACCAAATGATGTTCTTTACTGGGGGACCTGGCAGTTATTTATGGCTCCTCTGGTGACTCTGTTGCTATTTTGTCTCTTTACAAATGTACTCAGTAGTTCAGGTGCTAGGTTGTTCTTACATTTAAAATTCTGTATGCCTCTGTATTCCAGTAAGTCACTCATTTACCTTTATTCTGGTACGCTGAATCACAGACTGGGATTTTTGAATTGGATTTGGCACATTGGACTAGAAAAGACAAATCTGCTGCAGCAAACAGAGCATTGCTGTAACTTAAACACCAAAACTGACTAATCTTTAACAAGAGACGAACAACTCAAACACTCAACCACCCCAGGAACATATTTGAAAACACATCCTCACATGTAGAATATCACTTTTACACACCAAGTACATAACAGTCTTAATTATATCTCTTAAACTACTGGTACGGTCAAATATTTATTTGATATTTGACCTCCAGTAAGCCAAAACAACTGTAATTAGAAGCAGTGGTTGCAGAAAAAAATAGTATTCACAGCACAAGCATCTTTCAACATACTCAAGAGGCAAAGCATTCAATTACACATAAATGAGCTAATCTTGTAAAACAAATGTTAGGCCTAGTCCACACATTGCCGGGTTTTTTAAAAACGAATATCCGCCCCTCCAAAAACTTGCATCCACACCACCGCGCTTTAAAAAAAAAAACTCTGTCCACACGTACCCGGATAAATACGTTGTTAAGGACATGCCAGACCTGTAGGCGGCAGTACTTCCCCCGTTCTTAACCTCGTCCTTCGTCTGTGGTCTTCCGCAAGGAGCAGTAATTCCGCTTGCAAAAACAAACAAGCAGAAAGCGCTTGGACAATTGATAAAGCGAGCGCAGCTCTGAGGGCATCCATGCTGCCGGCTAGTGTAAACACAGGTCGCACACGTGATGTCAGCATTTTTTTGTCGCGGAAAGTGACGTTGCGGACCTTAAAACTCCGGTTTTGTCTGTCCACACGCAGACACCCAAAACGGAGAAAACGCAGATCTTCACTTTGGCCGGAGTTTTTAAAAAGATCCGTTTTCGTGTGAAAAAACTCCGTTTTCGTGTGGATGACAGACCAAAACGTAGAAAAATATCTACGTTTTGGCAGATCCCCAGCTACGTGTGGACAGGGCCTTATTGTTCAAACAGAAATCTCAGATTCTCTGATTTGTTGTATGTTTGCATCTTTCTACATTCCACACTTGTGTTGTAAACCATGTGTACTCACCAGGATTTGGGCTCTCCAAAGTGAAGGTAGTTGATGCTATAGAGGTCCATATCCTCGGTGTGCCAGGAGAAGGTGGTCTTCCACATCCCAAAGTACAGATAAGGAGTGTTGACTCCCTGTATGGAAACGCCACAATCCTCCTCAATAACATCCAGGATGGAGTTCAGGTGGCCGATATTCCACTCTTCTATGTCCTGGAAAGTTGGAAACAGGAGTTTATGCAGAAAGGCAGTGGAACTTTCATACCAACTCAATAAATTAGGCTGTTTCTCCCCCACCCACCCCCCCCCCCCCACCCACCCACCCACCCCCCAGATTTCAATGCAGACTCTCAATGAGCCATCATGGCCATATGGTGCACCAAAACACAAAATCCTCAACAACAGAAGTACTAGAAAACCTTAAAGCCTGAAAAATAAAACAACACATTTTTAAATGTTTTTAAACTGAACAATTTACTGTCAAATATTACCAAAACAATTACATAATCCTAAGTTACATTTCATTGTGTAATATAATAGTAATATTGTGTAATATTGTGTAGTAATAGACTTGGATCCTCCACCAGAGGGCAGTAGACATGTATAGAAGTGGATATGGCAGGTTTATGATGAAGGTACTAATTCTGATACTCCATCTGGATGCTTTAACTCATCAACTGCCATTTCCATTTTTATTTTTATTTTTTTTACTGTGTGGGCGTCGGTACGAGCCCCCGCACCGTGAGAAAAACATCCCAGCTCTAAAGTTGATCTTCATCCGAGTATGTCACATGTCACGAGATCAGGAAGCAGAAAAAGCCACGTGTTAGATCGTTTTGGGCCGCTGATGTAAAAAAAAAGTGAGGTGCGAATGGGAAAAGCTTCTGCCGATCACAGTTCGACAACGGATTATGAAAGAACGGATAATACTTGAAAAGCGCAGATTCTTCCTGATGTAAGAGGTGAGTCTTTTTTTTTGTTAGTTTTGGTGTTGATATCATCCTGGCGTGCAACGTTCTGTGACTATTAAAAATACAGTACAGTGAAAACGATGAAAAACACTGGCAGCAAAGGTCTTTACCGATCAGGAAACGGCTGGCAGTGAATGAGGTAAGGCCAGAAGGGGGTTGACACTAACTTGTGACAATAGTTTATAAGGCCATAAAATGAAAATATTAAAAGGAAAAAAAAAAAAGTTGTGTTCAACAGGCGGTGAGCCAAAGTAGTTGTTCTGACAGAATCTGCATCCTGCCCCTGGGCAGGTAGCGTGGATCAAGTCTACCTCACATTGATTCCGACCAATCAGACGTGGGATTATGTTTCATGTTTGTGAAAAAAGTATGAAAGTCGGAGTCCATCCATCCATTTTCTAAACCCGCTTGTCCAGGTAGGGTCGGGGGGGGGGGGGGGGGGGGGGGGGGTGCTGGTGCCTATCTCCAGCAGTCAACGGGCAATCAGGCGGGGTACACCCTGGACAGAGAGCCAGTCCATCGCAGGGCAACACAGAGACACACAGGACAAACAATCCTGCACACTCACACCTAAGGACAATTTAGCCAGACCAATTAACCTAACAGTCATGTTTTTGAACTGTGGAAGGAAGCCGGAGAACCCAGGGAGAACCCGCGCATGCACAGGGAGAACATGCAAACTCCATGCAGAAAGATCCCAGGCTGGGAAGCGAACCCAGGATCTTCTTGCTGCAAGGCAACAGCTCTAACCACTGTGCCACTGCGCAGCCCTGAAAGTCGGAGTATTTCTCTTATCTGATGGAACCATCTAGTGGCTGACAAACATATCACACAAATAATTTCTTCTTTAGTAGTTTTAAGATGGCGACTTCACGTTTCTAGTTCATTTGTGTCCTTTTAGCCGACAAACAGAGCTAAAAGACGTTGTTTTACAAGTATTATTCTCATATCATGTTGTGTTCTCATATATTTATTAGGGCCCATATATATCTTATATATTTAACGCGTTAATTACGATTAATTAATTAGAAAAAAATAACGCGTTAAAAAAAATTAACGCATTTAATCGCAACTTGCATTTCAAGCACGGCGGAACCTTTGTCATTGCACGATTTCCTCGTAGACTGAATATCACTGACGCACACAACAATGCACAGTGCTAATGGCGACTAAAACGGAATAAAAACAGAAAGAAGTTGCCTTGCTTGGACTGATGCAGGATTTGGGAAACACGTCCTTCTCTTTACTTAACTTGGAAAAAAAAAACTTCCAGACAACAACGGAGTTCGTGTGGCGGACATTTTTCAGACATCGTCTCTGCTGCGGCTGCCCGGTGGCACCGGAAACTTTACAAAAGTTGCGGTTAGCTAAATTTTTAACATTTACGTAACATCTTGATGTGTTTCCGTTATTGCTATCTATGCTGTTCTCTGTGTCCACTTTCTTTGACATTTGTTTGTGTTAGTATAATGGGATGACTGTTTTTGTCTCTGTCACATGACTTGTAAATACTATCTCTGTATGTTTACACTACTTTGTGTCTAACATCAACCTGCCGGGGGGTCTGATGGAAATTAGCCCAAGGCTATAATCTGGCATATTTACATTTATTGAAATGTTCATTAATATGTATTGCCCCTCTTCCTAAATAAATAAATAATCTGTGCAGCGCTGAAAGCACCAGACAGAATAATTCTGTGCCCTAACAGTAGTTTATGAAAGTAGTCAGACAAACGAGAGGCACCTGGCTGCCGCTGGGAGAACGCTCCGTGTTCTCACTACTCTGTAAACAATCACAAACAACGTATCTTAAAGTTGAAAACAGAAGTTTAAGTTAAAACAGAAACACTCTGAAACTTTTCTGATGATTTTCTAAACAATTATATCGGGGAATTCTATGTTTCTGAACCGAGTCTCTGTCTAAACATCATCACATGCATTACTATCATTAAGCAGTGAGGTGTGTTGAAGCTGTCAGCTAAGGGGCGGATGCTTAAGTGTATCAGGGGCAGCGAGGAACGAGAAAGTTGTGATCAGGCTGGAGATCACACCAGATTCGCTGCTGCAGGCGTGAATCTGCGGGTCTGCAGCATCCCCTTCTTAACGTGACATCAGGACTTCCCATGTAAGGAAGGTCCGCTCACCTGTTCGTCAGATCATTATTTCCTCGCCATGATCTTTTATCATCCCATCATCCTCCAGTCATCCAACTGGAACCAGTTAGTGTTTCTGATCATTCTCAGAATATGCCATGCCTGCTCTGGTGTTAAAAGTTAGTACATTTAAGTCCTAGATCATATTTGTGCCTGTTCTACTGTCATTTTGAAGGATTATTATTTATGTGTTTTTACTACATTATGAGTAGAAATGCTAATAAAAACTCCCAATTATACAAACAAGTGAAACTGGAAAAATTAGAATCAGGTGCAAAGTCAAATTTATTTCAGTCATTCAACTAGACAGAGAGACTATTTAAAGGCTCAGGAACCCTTTGCAGGTGTTTTCTATTTGTAATGATAAATTTTAGTTGATTTGGGTTTTGTTTCATATCACACAGTGACATTTGAATAATTAAAATGCATTTTTTTATTAAAAGCTTTAGTTTACAGTAATAACCATGTCTAATGTTTGATTCTCTGTCTCATAATTTTAATTAAGTTTTACTTTGAGAGCACATTTTCCTGAACAATTAAAATGTGATTAATTTAGATTAATTAATTACAAAGCCTGTAATTAATTAGATTAAAATTTTTAATCAAGTCCCAGCCCTAATATTTATATTTTAGAGACTTTCTTGTCCGTGAAAATTCATCAACTGAGGTATTCCTTAAATCTGAAGCACATAAGTGGTAGTTTAACGGTATTGGTTAGTTCTGGTCAGTTTCCTATTGCACGGAGCTCTGCAATGCAGAAGGCGTGCTTAGCAAACAAAATAAATAAAAAGATGTGTTGCTTACATTATATCACAGTACACGATGAGACAATCAATTTTACGGATTTCTGAAAAATAATACATAAATAATGATTAACAGACAAACAGGAAATGCTGCTCAGGTGTGCTGAGAAGGTAATGGGTGACTGGGTCTTTGTACAATGTGGTTATGTGTAGGTTGGTCCCAGACACGTTGGTCTACTTCAGTTCAGCCACTTTGGCTTCAAGTGTGTCCTTGTTAGCACCGGAGAACTCATGCACCTTCTTTCCATTTTTGTAGAAATGGAATGTGGGCATGCAGCTAATACCACAGGAACTGCTCACATCTTCTGCCTCGTCCACATCCACCTTCACGAAAATTACGTCTTTGTGTTGCTCCGCCATTTTATCAACATGTGGACCGATCATTTTGCAGGGCCCACACCACGTAGCTGTGAAGTCCACCACCACCAGCGTGTCTCCCGCTTCCTGAAGGAGCTTGTCGAACTCCTCCTTGTTTTTTATTTCTCTGACCATGATGACAGCTTGTGAGCGATAGTTCCACGCTGGTAGAGAACGTAACACCTAGAAGGGTTGAAAACTCCTCCTTGAACCGTCACCTTATCGTGGTGGAGGAGTTTGAGTGCCCTAATGATCCTAGGAGCTATGTTGTCTGGGGCACTTAGTGCCCCTGGTAGGGTCTCCCATGACAAATTGGTCTTAGGTGAAGGGTGAGACAAAGAACGGTTCGAAGGATCTTTCATGGCGGTTAAAACGAAGAGTCGGAGTACCCGGCCCGGAGGGTTACCGGGGTCCCACCCTGGAGCCAGGCCTGGGGTTGGGGCCCGTGAGCGAGCGCCTGGTGGCCGGGCTTTCGCCCATGGGGCCCGGCCGGGCCCAGCCCAAACCGGATACATGGGCTCGTCCAACTGTGGACCCACCACCCGCAGGAGGAACATGAAGGGTCCGGTGCAATGCGAATCGGGTGGCAGACCAAGGCGGGAGCCTTGGCGGTCCAATCCCCGGACAAGAAAACTAGTTTTTGGGACATGGAACGTCACCTCGCTGGCGGGGAAGGAGCCGGAGCTTGTGGAAGAGGTTGAGCGGTACCGGCTAGATATAGTCGGACTCACCTCGACACATTGCATTGGCTCTGGAACCCGAGACCTGGAGAGGGGTTGGACACTCTACTTTGCTGGAGTTGCTCCGGGTGAGAGGCGGAGGGCTGGGGTTGGCTTCTTGTTAGCCCCGAGACTCTCTGCCTGTGTGTTGGGGTTTACCCCGGAGGACAAGAGGGTAGCTTCCTTGCGCCTTCGGGTCGGGGAACGGGTCCTGACTGTTGTTTGTGCTTATGGGCCAAATATCAGTTCAGAGTACCCACCCTTTTTGGAGTCCCTGGGACGAGTGCTAGATAGTGCTCCATCAGGGGACTCCATGGTCCTGCTGGGGGACTTCAATGCTCACGTGGGCAACGACAGCTTGACCTGGAGGGGTGTGATTGGGAGGAACGGCCCACCTAATCTGAACTCGAGCGGTGTTTTGTTATTGGACTTCTGTGCAAGCCGCAGTTTGGCCATAACGAACACCATGTTCGAACATAAGGATGCCCACCGGTACACTTGGTACCAGGGCAGCCTAGGTCACAGGTCGATGATAGATTTTGTAGTCGTATCATTTGACCTGCGGCCGTATGTTTTGGACACCCGAGTGAAGAGAGGGGCGGAGCTGTCAACTGATCACCACCTGGTGGTGAGTTGGATCAGATGGCAAGGGAACATGCCGCGTAGACCTGGCAGACCCAAACGCATAGTGAGGGTCTGCTGGGAACGCCTGGCAGAAGAACCTGTCAAGACGGTCTTCAACTCCCACCTCCGGCAGAGCTTTGACCACGTCCCGAGAGCAGTGGGGGACATTGAGTCCGAGTGGGCCTTGTTCCACTCTGCGATTGTCGAGGCGGCTGTTGCTAGCTGTGGTCGTAAGGTGGCCGGTGCCAGTCGTGGTGGCAACCCCCGTACCCGCTGGTGGACACCAGAGGTTCGGGGAGCCGTCAGGCTGAAGAAGGAGGCCTACAGGGCGTGGCTGGTCTGTGGGTCTCCGGAGGCAGCAGACAGGTACCGGATAGCCAAGCGGGGTGCAGCAGTGGCAGTTGCCGAGGCAAAATCTCGGGCGTGGGAGGAGTTTGGTGAGGCCATGGAGAAAGACTATCGATCGGCTCCAAAGAGGTTCTGGCAAACTGTCCGGCGCCTCAGGAGAGGAAGGCAGCAACTCGCTCACACTGTTTACAGTGGGGATGGGGAGCTGCTGACGTCAACCGAGGCTATAGTCGGACGGTGGAAGGAATACTTTGAGGAGCTCCTCAATCCCACCAATGCGCATTCCGAGGAGGAACCAGAGCTGGGAGGCCTGGGGATGGACTGTCCGATCTCGGGGGCAGAAGTTGCTGAGGTAGTCAAACAACTACACAGCAGCGGAGCCCCGGGGGCGGATGAGGTTCGTCCTGGGTATCTCAAGGCTATGGATGTTGTAGGGCTGTCATGGTTGACACGTCTCTACAACATTGCGTGGTCATCGGGGGCAGTTCCTAGGGAGTGGAAGACCGGGGTGGTGGTCCCCATCTTTAAGAAGGGTGACCTGAGGGTGTGTTCCAACTATAGGGGGATCACACTCCTCAGCCTCCCTGGAAAAGTCTACTCCAAGGTACTGGAGAGGAGGGTCCGATCGATAGTTGAATCTCAGATAGAGGAGGAGCAATGTGGTTTTCGTCCTGGCCGTGGAACTGTGGACCAGCTCTATACCCTTGCAAGGGTGATGGAGGGGGCATGGGAGTTTGCCCAACCAATCCACATGTGCTTTGTGGATTTGGAGAAGGCTTATGACCGTGTCCCCAGGGGCACCCTGTGGGGGACGCTCCAGGAGTATGGGGTGGGTGGCTTTCTGTTAAGGGCCATTCAGTCCCTTTACCAGAGGAGCGTGAGTTTGGTCCGCATAGCCGGTAGTAAGTCGGACCTGTTCCCAGTGAGGGTTGGACTCCGCCAGGGCTGCCCTTTGTCACCGGTTCTGTTCATCACTTTTATGGACAGAATTTCTAGACGCAGCCGTGGTGTGGAGTGTGTCGAGTTTGGTGGCAGGAGAATCTCGTCTCTGCTTTTTGCGGATGATGTGGTCCTCCTAGCTTCATCCAGCTCTGACCTTCAGCTCTTGCTGGGTAGGTTTGCGGCCGAATGTGAAGCGGCTGGGATGAGGATCAGCACCTCCAAATCTGAGACCATGGTTCTCGACCGGAAAAGGGTGGCTTGCCACCTCCGGGTCGGGGGAGAGGTCCTACCTCAAGTGGAGGAGTTTAAGTATCTCGGGGTCTTGTTCACGAGTGAGGGTAGGAGGGATCGGGAGATCGACAGGCGGATTGGTTCGGCGTCTGCAGTGATGCGGACGCTGAGCCGATCTGTCGTGGGGAAGAGGGAGCTGAGCCAGAAAGCCAGGCTCTCGATTTACCGGTCGATCTACGTCCCAATCCTCACCTATGGTCATGAGCTTTGGGTAATGACCGAAAGAACGAGATCGCGGATACAAGCGGCCGAAATGAGTTTCCTCCGGAGGGTGGCCGGGCTCAGCCTTAGAGATAGGGTGAGGAGCTCGGACATTCGGGAGGGACTCAGAGTAGAACCGCTGCTCCTCCGGATCGAAAGGAGCCAGTTGAGGTGGTTTGGGCATCTGGTCAGGATGCCTCCTGGACGCCTCCCCGGGGAGGTGTTTCGGGCATGTCCTGCCGGCAGAAGGCCCCCGGGTCGACCCAGGACACGTTGGAGAGGTTACATCTCCAATCTGGTCCGGGAACGCCTTGGAGTCCTGCCGGAGGAGCTGGTGGACAAGGCCGGGGAGAGGACGGCCTGGAGCTCCCTAGTTGGGATGCTGCCCCCGCGACCCGGACCCGGATAAGCGGAGGAAGACGAGACGAGACGAGACGATAATACATAAATACTGAAAGGGGAAAACTTCAGAAAGCTACTTTAAGTTTTGTGACTTTATTGTTCAGTTTGTGAGAGACACCATGAGATTGTTTCAACAAACCATAAACACCTGCCTCCAACAAAAGGCTAATCATGTCCGTGTAATCTCCATTTATAAATGTTAATGCTTTCATCAAATAAAAGGATCTGTGTTCATTACCAGATGTCCTAGGAAACACTACAGTGATCCCTCGTTTATCGCTGTAGATGCGTTCCAGACCTGGCCGCGATAGGTGAAAATCCGCGAAGTAGGGACACCATATTTACAGTACAGCACATTCTCTTTTTGTGGGTAAAACTCAAGAAAAAAAAATTTTTTTACTTGGTTTTTTTTATAGTTTTATTACAAAAAGTACATTTTATGATGAAATTGATGAAAAAAAAAAACAGGAATTTCTTGATATTTCGCATAGAAAAATACTGCGAATCTGCGAATTTCCCTTGAATAAGGCTCCGAAGAAAAAATCTGCGAAGTTGTGAATCCGCAATAAACGAACCGCGAAGTAGCGAGGGATCACTGTATTCGCTCTGAAAAATAAATACACCGCTCGAGACACAGGGTAAACAAATTATTGGGTATAACTACTTTGGCACAACACCTGTCAATCACCCTTCCTTTTTTTTTTGGTACTTCTGTTTTATTATAACAACCGTTGTAAGGAAGGTTGCTGCGGGGTAACTTTTGTATTACTTTAAACTGTACGAGCTACAGTAGTGTCTGATCTTACCGCCTATTAAAAATATTGATGTGTACTTTTATTTTGTAAAAAATAAAAAAAAGTCTAAAACTAACTATGGCTTGACTGCATTCATACAGAAGCTTACTACCATTTCATTCATGTGAAAAGCTGACAAATGAGCAACACCTGCGGGATTAATAAGAAAGGAGCAGAGTCCACTACCTCATCATAGAGACTGCCACTGACATCCGCACCGTAGATGGGCGAGACAAAAGTCAGGTTCTTCCAGTATTTTCTCTCAAGATCTTCGTAATTCAGGTAACGAGGTGTACAGTACCTGTGGGGACATAAATTAATCACCTGGTTAAACCCTCACAGGAAATACTTTCTTAAAACATCACTAAGGATAATGCAATTTTATAATACTAGTCAGCTTCTTGACAACTAGTTCCTTATCGTCAATCTCTTAAATTTAAAAAGTCTTTTTTTTTCTTCATTTAATTACTATTCATGAAAAAAAGCCAAACAACAGGGTATCTGCAGGTTTAAGGGAGCCAAATATAAGACTTTTTAAGACCTTTTTTAAGGCCACTTTGACCAAATTTAAGCTTTTTTTTTAATTAAATTTAAGCTATAATTTCCAGCTATTGCCTGGATCCGGTGCTAACCACGTCGTGAACGTGGGATTAGCCATCCAGTTACCATTAATGTTGCACTTCCCAATGGCGCAAACTCCCACTAGCGTGCTCATCTAAAAATAGCCCCCTTTCACAACCAACCGAATGTGTACGGTTCCGCTTACGCCAGTATCATACACAAAAAATGCTGAACTAACTAGAAATTCACAAAAATTTTATAGAAATAAAAGAATCTTGTTTTTTCGGTCTTTGGTAATTTAAGACCTTTGGAAACTATTTAAGGATTATTTGTCATTTTTAAGGATTTTTAAGGCCTTAAATTTGGAAAAGCTAATTTAAGACTTTTTAAGACCTTTTTAAGGACCTGCAGATACCCTGAACAAGGAAAAATAACTGAAACATGTGAAGCTTTAGGCTCCAAATGTTCTAACAAGTTAAATTTGAGATAAATTTCAACTTTGCTAATGAAACACTTATGTACCGTTTTTATTAAATTTATATAATTCTTACTTTAGCCAAAAAATTACATCCAAAGTGAATTTTTTTTTTTAAAACCACCATGATGCTCACATGTCACTGTTAGCTAATCGCCTGAACTCCTGCACACTGAGAGGTTTCTTCTGGATGTTGTACTGAGTGAAGAGCCCCGACTGGCCGGCAACCATCTGCTGAATGGGAGCATCGATCATCAAATCATCGATATCATCGTAGGTACGACGGGGCTTCCAGCCTTTAGGAGGAATGACCTGAGGGACAAACAAAGAAGCAAAGATCCATCACTACACATACATGAAAACACAGCTACTTTGCTCTGGAAGATAACTCTGATCACTGCAACACTGATTTTTTTTTTTTTACATGTAACACCTGAGCTCTGATATGTCAAAGAAACAAGCCAACCTCGCAGCTGAAACTGTTTTCAAGAAGAAGAGGAAAATATCATTTCTATAGCGCCTCTCAAGATAAAAATCACGAGGCGCTTCACAAAAACAAAAAATGTAAAAATATAAAAAAGAATTTAGAAAATGGTTAAAATATATTTAAAATGAGCAAAAATAGACAATTGTGATTAAAGAAAAAATGTTAAGAAAGAAAGAGAGAGAGTGAATAGGAAAGAGGGAAATCAGTGGATCCTGAGGAAGGTGGAATAGGTGGGGAGAGCAGAATAAAGAGAGAGAGGTGAAGAAGGTCATACAAAACCAGCTTGAACAAGTGAGTCTTCAGCTGCTTTTTAAAGGAGACCACTGAGTCCACTGATCTCAGACTCAGGGGGAGAGAGTTCCAGAGTCTGGGGGCCACAGCAGCAGATGATCTGTCACCTTTGACCTTTATCCTGGTACTGCACAACCAGTAGGCTTTGATCACTGGACCTCAGGGACCTGCTGGAGGTGCAGGGACTAAGAAGATCACCAATGTAAGATGGTGCTTGTCCATGTATGGCCCTATAGACCAGAACCAGGATCTTGAAATGAACCCTGAAGTTGACTGGCAGCCAGTAAAGCTGGAGGAGAAGCGGGGTGATGTGGGTGTGTTTGGAGGACTTGGTCAGAAGCCGAGCACAGGCGTTCTGAACCACCTGTAGACGGTTCAGGGAGGTTCTGCTCAGACACGTGAAAAGAGAGTTACAGTAGTCTAAGCGTGAGGAGAGATACCAACCTTAGCTAGACCTGCGCGGTGTGCACCCTGGGACTCCATATAAACCAGGTACTGGTTGAAGTCTTTGAACTCTTCCATTGTAGGCCTGAAGGTCATAATCTTGCAGGTGGGATTTGCAGGGGGGTATACCTCTGCTCCCGCCATCCTGCCACCTCTGCAGCTGTGACAAAACAAAACATATCCTGAAATTGACTGGTGTTGTCAAGCAGAAAAATATTTGTGTAACCAGAAATAAAGATGATCTGGAACTGAAAGATTTTTTGTTTTTCTTTTGTTTCTATTCAACTAAGTGTTACGGCAATTTAATTATTTGGCCTTCTACGGATTATTTTTCAATCCTAAATTATTTTATAGGCGATAATATATTTTAAAAAGATAGTACTGAGGTGAAAATAAAATTCTGGATGTGAAAAAGGTTAGTATGTTGATTTGGAAGGTTGCACAGCTGCATTACGGTACAAAATCGTCCAACAACATAATTATTATTTATCGCTTTTTTCAATTTACCAAAGTTTTCAGTACATTTTAACTTGTCCTCAGCAACAGTAAAAGCAAGTACTGTTCCCAGACTTCTTCGTATTTTAAATCTGACCTCTGCTAATCTGATATTTGACTGTTTACTGCTGAGACCGGCTGGTGGGCACAGATGGAGCTCAAAATGAGGGACAGCTTATTCCTAACATGGCCACGAGATGGCGATAGAGACCGAACAGATATTGTTTTGATTCTTGAAACCTGTTCAGGTTTTTGTCCCATCCGCCCATCCCATAACTCTGACTTTACTATGCCCACCACATACAAAGGATCCCATTAACAACCATGTGAGTGTAAAGTTACTAACCTTTCCTAACCCTGTTAGATTCACTCCACTGGAGTTTGCGTCACTGTGCAACACAACTGCACTAGTTGGCTCACAGGCTGCTGGACTGAAGGGAGTTAAAAACATTAAACCGAAATAAAAAGCTTGAGTTTCGTTTCCCTCTTTGTCCCAGGTGTTACATAAAATATTTAAATCGTATTTAAAACGCATGTGCCGTATTCGACTTCAATAAATACAAACAGACGAATCTGATCACACTGTAAAATAAAATAAACCTCAGCTAAACGGTTCTTCGGCGTCTTCAGCTGTGGTCATTATTGTTGTCTACGAGCGGAAGCTAACTAGCTAGCCTACGTTCTGTTATGATACCGAGCAATGGCTGCACAACCAGTGCAGCCTGCTAACTTACATTTACACTGGGTATTATTCAACTTTTATTCAACATGAGCATAACAACCCCGGATTACATGTATTAAATGTGTGATTTAAGGGAAGAAGAAGCATTAATAACTAGCCTAGCTAAAACACGGCTAACTTGTCACTGCACGAGTAAATGGGGTTTAAATGTCCCTCACAAGGTGGCTGCTCACAGGCCCTTAGCTACCTCCGATGAGACTTCGTGGAGACAAACTGGTTTGGTGGATGCTGAAATTTTCACCAGTATCTTGTGGATTCTCCAACAAACAAACGCACAAGGCAACCCGTCCAAAACTTGCACATTAACGTGTCAGTTTAAATGTGGTTCAAACTAAGCGCTAACAGTTAGCTGTAGATAGCTGCTAAGAAAATTCTGCAAAGCAGTCACGTAATACAGATAAGACATACGAACCAATTCGTTATGCAACAGTTTATCTACAACACCTGGGTCTGTGTAATGGTTCTGAAAATATTACCTTGATTTGGAAAGACGAAGTCGTGTATTGTTTAATCCTTCCTTGTTCGTCCAGCTGATTCACATGACAGCTGCTGCTGCTGCTTCGTGCCTCGAAGAGTAGCTGCGTTCTACACCATGTGTGCGAGCCAGCTGTGGTTCTGGACGTCGTGTGGCAGGCCCGTCCACGCGCTGTGAGATCTGCGAATCCTTTAGTTTGTCAAAAACTGGAACGCCTCTCTGGGTGTGAAACGCTACCACCGCAACCACATACACACCTGTGTGTGTGTGTGTGTGTGTGTGTGTGTGTGTGTGTGTGTGTGTGTGTGTGTGTGTGTGTGTGTGTGTGTGTGTGTGTGTGTGTGTGTGTGTGCACGCGCTTGCACGTGCGTATTTGTGTATTAGATGTGGTGTGGCATTTATTGGTCTTGAAATAATAACTAATAGCTTCATATCTAACATGTTTGACAGAACGCCGTTATTCAGAATGCTGCGGCCAGAGTCTGCAGGAATGAAGAGAACCAAGCACATCACTCCTGTTCTTAAATCTCTACACTGGCTACCAGTAAACTATCAAATCGATTTCAAAGTACTTGTACTAGTTTATAAAGCATGGGGCCAAAATTCATGTCAGATATACTTGTAGCGGATGCACATAGCAGGGCTCTGAGATCCTTAGATAGCAGTCATCTTCAAGAACCCTGGGTCAGAACCAAACAGAGTGACGCTTCCTTTAGCTACTATGCTGCACACAGTTGGAATCAGCTTCCTTATAACCTCAAAGGTGCCCAGCGCTAGTATCTTTTTAATCAATGTTGAAAACTTTCATGTATTCATCAGCCTTTGAATGAATGTCTCTCATGATGCACATTCTGCACTGTAACTGCTCACCCTTTAACTTTGCCTTTTTATCTTGTGTTTGCAACTAATTTTATTTGTGAATTTCAAATTTGATTGTCAATTTGATTTTAATGATTTATGTTGCTGTTCTTGCCCATGGAAAATACACAGAATTGTTTCAGTGTGTGAAATGTGCTAATCAAAGAAAGCTGTCTTGCCTTCATTAACACTTGCAAACTTAAAACAGTCAACTTGATTTAATTTAAAAATTAAATCCCTCTAAGTCTACAGTGGATTTAAGTTCACCCAGTTGCCAACAGAGCAAATATGATGTGATATGTTTGTGGCTGATAGTTCCTGATTTAGCTTGTAAATTTAAACATTTAGAAGTTTCAAAGTAGTCTCTTCATTTTGAACAAATTTACATGAAGTATTAATCAGTTATTAGTTTTATGTGAACACTGTAGTAACAGCTTAGACCCGCCAGAGGGCGGAATAAATACTTGCTCAAAAAAGTCTGAAGAGATTGAGTTCTTCTCACGCTTCCATAAAGTTGACCAAATCATTGGACACCAAGTCAACTGGCTGATTACAAATGAGTTAATTAAAAGTTTATTTAGATTTTTTTAACTCGAAAATAAAGAATTGCATTTCTATTAGTTAATTGTGTGTGTGTGTGTGTGTGTGTGTGTGTGTGTGTGTGTGTGTGTGTGTGTGTGTGTGTTTGTATGACTATACTTGTGAGGACGTACCCTTGACAAACGACCTGTACTGTGAGGACATTTTCCTTTGTGAGGACATTTTGCCATGTCCTCACAAAATTTTGCCTTAAATCTTCTTTAATTACACTCAAACGTGTTCTGGCAAAGTTTCAGAAAAATACCTCAGAAAAATAGTAATTACTGACATGTGTGTTTTGGAATCAACTCTTGAGCTCACCTAGTGGACACACACTAGTACTGCAGCTCTGGACTTGAATTTTTTGCTCCAATTTTCTGATTGGCTGAGGCCATGGATTTTTCTGATTGGCTTTTGTAGTTATGTGACCTGCTTGACAAGTAAGTGAAATGAAATGAAACTTAAAAACTACATGGATTTATAAGTTTAGACAAAATATTTTAAATTAATTCTCGGTTAACATTTAATTCTAATGACTAATTCTGCTCCTTATATTCATATAAAATAAAAATAATTACAATAATAATAAATTCAAATTCATTGTTAAATCATATTAAATAATACACTATAGCCAATATAGGCTGTAAACTCTGGCCCTTCTCAATGAGACAGCAACTTGAAACTTGAATATGTTGGAGCTGTCAGCTATGTAAAGATATAGTTAAAGTTTCAATTCTCTAGGTTGAAGAGAACCATGTTTTTCAGCCCAAATCATTCCTTTTTTCTGCATATATGACCCTTTTGAATGAGACAGCAACTTGACACTTGAATATTTTGGAGTTGCCAGCTATGTAAAGACACAGTAAAAGGTTCAAGTCTCTAGGTTGAAGAGAACATTGTTTTTCAGACCAAAACCTTCCTTTTTTCTGCATGTACCAAAACGTTGTGACCTCTGACCCAGAACACCACCAGAACGATGCAATGGCTACCAATCCGCCTGGGCTAGCTCGGGGTGCCGGTGGCATGCCGAATCGTTGTTTGTTTGGTGAAAATCGGTTGAAAAATAACACATTTGCGAGCACATGGCAAAAATGGCGGGGAAACTGCCCTCTGGGCCCAAACAAACCTTTACAACAATGCGACCGGCACAAATTCAAAACCTGTGGGTCGCGCCAGCATCGGGATGCACCAAAACAACTTTTGTGTGCATCAAACCAACGTGGGCCGAACGGCGGCCAAAAAGGGGCACAAATATAGGTCAGGCTTCGTTTGGGGCCTAGGGTTTGTCCCAAACGTCCAGTTGCTTTTAAATTATTAAAAATAGTTATATTCTACATAGGGACACGAAATTCACATATGTTGTAAACCCTAACCCTAACCAAAAATCCCCACTTTCAATGGGAAATTGTGATTTTCTCCAAACTCTCTCTCAGGACAGCTGGGCCTCATGGCTTAGGCTGCTGCCTCAACTCAGGATAAGCGGATGAAAATGGATGAATGGTTGGATGAAATTATTGTTTTAGTAATAGTGTTCTGACCCTCCCTTTAAGACGATAGTGTTTGCGTTCTGGTATGTCTCTCCTAGTCTAAAAAGCCCCCCCAAGTCCCGTACTTCAAAAAGCTCCTATACTTTAACATTGCCTTTTCCACTAATTTTAAGGTCACGGTGTGGGTCACAGGAGTGATGTAACTGGTCAGAAATCAGGTCACTTCATTGTCATAACCCTCCCTTTAAGGCGTTAGTGTCTGCATTCTGATATGTCATTCCTAGTCTAAAGAGCCCCCTCAAATGTACTCTAAAAAGCTCCTATACTTTAACATTGCCTTTTCCACTAATTTTGAGGTCACGTGTGGGTCACAGGAGGGATGTAAAGGGTCTTAAATCAGGTCACTTCATCATCATAACCCTCCCTTCGAGGTGGTCATGTCTAGCATTGTCACGGTGTGAAAATTTAACCTCACGGTTATTGTGACCAAAATTATCACGGTTTTCGGTATTATCGCGGTATTTTTTTAAACGTGTTACATTTTCAGACAACTACATAAACCCTGTATGTCAGGAAAATATTGTCCTCAGTTTGTGTCTAAATTTTGCCTAAAATTTGTTATTTTGTAATTATGTTGTTTATTTGTTTACATTTTTCCCCTTTAGTATTTAAAATACATTATTTGCCCACAACTTCTTATTTTTTGTCTGTTTGATGTCATCAATTTAAAAATATTAGATCAGATGATACTCGGTACTCAAGTAGCCTTCTAATCAGATACTTTTTTTTACCCTTTCTTGAGTAATAAACCCTATATCAGGAAAAAATTGTCCTCGGTTTGTGTCCTTTCGGTGAGCTTTGCAGATTTGGGAAAATGTCATCAGGCAGTAATCATTGTTAAATTCATAATTATTCTCGCAGAGAGACCAACTCTTAACTGTCCCTGGGAGCCCCGTAATGCATAGCGTCATTTCAAAATGGGGATCTCCGTGACACGGTTTACATGCAGGTAGCGGTGCTGCAGCTGCTTTATATAGTCATTCATGCGCAAAAAATTCCCCCATCCCCGTACTTCAAAAAGATCCCATACTTTAACATTGCCTTTTCCACTAATTTTTAGGTCACGGTGTGGGTCACAGGAGGGATGTAAAGGGTCTTAAATCAGGTCACTTCATCATCATATACCCTCCCTTCGAGGTGGTCATGTCTAGCATTGTCACGGTGTGAAAATTTAACCTCACGGTTATTGTGACCAAAATTATCATGGTTTTCGGTATTATCATGGTATTTTTTTTAAACGTGTTACATTTTCAGACAACTACATAAACCCTGTATATCAGGAAAAAATTGTCCTCGGTTTTTGTCCTTCCGGTGAGCTTTGCAAATTTGGGAAAATGTCATCAGGCAGTAATCATTGTTAAATTCATAATTATTCTCGGAGAGAGACAAACTCAACTGTCCCTGGGAGCCCCGTAATGCATAGCGTCATTTCAATATGGAGGTGTCTGCGACACGGTTTACATGCAGGTAGCGGTGCTGCAGCTGCTTTATATAGTCATTCATGCACAAAAAATTCCACCATCCCCGTACTTCAAAAAGATCCCATACTTTAACATGGCCTTTTCCACTAATTTTGAGGTCACGGTGTGGGTCACAGGAAGGATGTAAAGGGTCTTAAATCAGGTCACTTCATCATCATAACCCTCCCTTCGAGGTGGTCATGTCTAGCATTGTCACGGTGTGAAAATTTAACCTCACGGTTATTGTGACCAAAATTATCACTGTTTTCGGTATTATCGTGGTATTTTTTTTAAACGTGTTACATTTTCAGACAACTACATAAACCCTGTATATCAGGAAAATATTGTCCTCAGTTTGTGTCTAAATTTTGCCTAAAATTTGTTATTTTGTAATTATGTTGTTTATTTGTTTACATTTTTCCCCTTTAGTATTTAAAATACAATATTTGCCCATAACTTCTTATTTTTTGTCTGTTTGATGTCATCATTTTAAAAATATTAGATCAGATGATACTCGGTACTCAAGTAGCCTTCTAATCAGATACTTTTTTTTTACCCTTACTTGAGTAATAAACCCTATATCAGGAAAAAATTGTCCTCGGTTTGTGTCCTTCCGGTGAGCTTTGCAAATTTGGGAAATGTCATCAGGCAGTAATCATTGTTAAATTCATAATTATTCTCGGAGAGAGACCAACTCTTAACTGTCCCTGGGAGCCCCGTAATGCATAGCGTCATTTCAAAATGGGGATGTCCGCGACACGGTTTACATGCAGGTAGCGGTGCTGCAGCTGCTTTATATAGTCATTCATG